TGTGGTTTTTGACTCAAGAAATCAAATACAAGCATCTATTTATTTTAGATGGCTTACCGAGCAAGTATACAGAAATCCATTCATTAAGAAGAAAGAATATTGTGCATATTTCTCTCCAGAATCAAAATGAGGTCATTCAGATTGAAGTTTAAGATTTTTGGCTTTGACTTAAGTGTTTTTAAATATATGCATTGTCAAGTAGTATTCTCTCATGCAGGGCCAGACAGAGGTATAATAAAACTTTTTTTTTCAGCTGCAGGACATCGGAGCAAAAAAAAAAAAAAAACATTGTTTACTTGATGGACCACTTTCTTTTTACATCAGTGTCACACCATACAGTCATAACGGCTGATAATTAGGAAGATACACAGAAGGACTTCCCCTGGAGGTCTAATGATGTGCAGGCTTTATGGCTGCAAACACGGGCATGATATCATTCTGGCAATTAATTTGTATAAATAACAGAACAAGTTTTTCCCCCTTAATGACTGTTGTGGGTTTATACTTTTAAAAATTACTCTTTTCTCGGAAGAGATAAACAAAAAAAGTTAAACATTCTCTTGTTTTTCTTTGATTTAATTTCAGTTGACGAAGAACAATTCATCTTTAAATCAGTAAACAAGACTTTAAAGATCAGTAGTTGCATGAAAACATGCTTGCTTTGATTAAAATTTAAATGTTTTCTTAAGAAATTACCCGCAATATTGCTTTAAAATTTTAATTTACAAAAAACTGATTAAAAAAATCTCAAACTCTACTGCTTATTATAGCAGTTGTTAAATACTTATAGCAGCATTTTCTGCTTGTAAGTTCCTCTGACATGAGTTCATTCTCAGTACCCGGGTCGGAGTGGGATTCATTTTCTGGGAGCTTCTTGCCTCAGAGTGGCCCACTTAAGTTGGCAGTCACTTTAAAAATTTAAAATAAAAAAAAATAAAAAAAATAAAAACCTTGAAAATATTGCCTGATTCAGAGTAAGCCAATAACTTATTTATTGACTTATTTACTTAAATTGATTCATTTTTGCTCAGTTTTTCTTTTAAAATATTTTTATACCCATTTATATGTGAACATTGTTTCTTTGCAGTTTCAAATTATGTTTTCTTAACAAACAATATCCTCAGCAGCTATTGCTTTGGAGCGAAGCAAATTGCTTGGCCTCTCTTGTTGGCCAGTTTCCTTTTATCTGTTTTTTCAAAGTTCAAACTTTATTCCTGTGGTTCCTGCTTGTTCTGACTCACCACCAACAGCCTTGATTATTTGGATACTTGTTTTTCTTTGATAAATGAAATTGTCTTTATTTGGGTCATGATAATGGTATCTTTAATTTCAGATAATACTAAACATAAATTGGACAAAAATGCAAAAATAAATGGAATACGTCAAATGACAAATAACTTTTACAGCAATGTACCACAATACTGGAAACTATACTAGATGCAACGAGTCGGGTCTGTCTTCTTTGTTTCATTCCAGTCATTGACTTAAATTAACACCAACCCTTATGGCCCATAAACCCAATGGGCCCACTGGGATTTTTCCTGCTTCTCCTGGTTAGCTTCTCGGAGACTACTCAGAATATGCACAGAACATTTTGACCTCAAATTGTAGACTCTCTGAGACTAAAGATCAAGTCATTTTGAGTTAATTTCATTTGATCAGAACTAATATAATGCTTTTAACAGCTGACCCGAATGTCTCCTTCATCCCTGTAATGCTTTCAGCAGTACAGGGACAAACCAAATTTGTCTCTTGGTTTTACTTGTGGAAAGTAAAACACACTCCTTATGCACAATAGTGACTTTACATTTGATGTGGCAATTGTTTTATAATCACTGTTCATTTTTTATACACATCTCAGGTTTATTTATTTTTTTCTATTTCAGATATTTTATGCGGATCTAAATCATGCCAAGATTTATCAACAAAATACTTATAGGGGACAATTCGGGGAGAATATGTCATTAATATTCTATATGAAATGAAGCTGCGTCTTTATGTGAGACTAAATATGCAGATTTTAAAGACACACTGCTTTCAAATAGGTTAGAAACAACAGAATGTGTCAATATCATATGCTAATTATATTGCTGGTGCTTCACAGTTGCCGACTGTATTGTAACAGAAATCTGTCAAGTCTGACCTGTTGCGGTCACATTAACAGATGCACAGCTGCATTGGGTTAATTTGGCATAACATATGATCAGCTTGTCAGAGGAATCAAACAAATTGCACAGTTGAATAAAAAAAAGAATAACATCACTCTGCAGAGCATCAAACGCCACGATTTATAATTAGCTTCAGAATCCAGTCTTTTTTTTTTCTGCTTCTGTAAAAAGCAAACAAACACTAACTCAGTTTAAAACAGTGATTGAACTCCACAGAATCATTCGCGCGGCTTCTGATTAAAGCAAAATCTTAAATTCCAACTACTCCCATCCAGCTTCGTAATAGTTTTACAGTAATCCAATGCAGCCTGTTTTTTTGGCAGAGCAGCATCTTGTTGCGAGGAAATTGTAAAAGGACTTGCACAGTTTGAGATGTTGATGTGACTTCTAATTTCTGAATTAGTTTTGTGAGAGCGATGAGTAAGAATGGCGTTAAAAAAATTTAATGAGTTTAAAACAAGTAAACTTATCACAGTCCAATGCAGACCAACTGACAGCCTGCTCTGGCTCAGAACAAATTATTTGGAGATGGGCCTTCACCCACAACGTTTATTAATATGTGACTACTTTGAAATTGATTGATTTTGCAATCATGTTTTAAAGAAGGGATATTTTTAAACATCCCTTCTTCCCCATCATTTTAGATCCATGCTTTGTGATTTTTTTTTCTTCATTTGACACCTTAGAACCGGTTCATTAAAAATAGAAATAACTTTTAAATATTCTTTTATGGTTTAAATGTATTACTCCGTAACAACTTTTAATCCGTGCAGAAAATTGACATCTACATTCAAAACTTCTGTCTTCTGTTCACATGCATCTAAAAGTTTTGTTAACAGTTTCATATAAATATCAATTTTGGGTCATTTTATTGAATCGTGGCACGTTTGGCTTTCCGTACTGACTTACTTAATTAGGCCACTGCATGTGTGATATGATTATATTTGACGTCTAAACACCATGGACAGAATCTTCCTCAAGAAGAACTGCTTTATATACAACTTTGCTTCGCCCAAATACAACATACAAAAACACAGTGCAGGTATTAATTTTTACCAGCCTCCAAACGTTACGTCTGAGTTTTCAGATAAGTCTGACTTTTCTCGGAACATTAAACCCGAGCACACAGATATGAGAGGCCAGTTGTTAGCCTAGTTAAAACCAGCTACTTTTAGAGCTGCATAGGAAGACAATAGCCAGGCTAGTTGTCTGTAGAAAAAAGTTTAAATAGAGATTTAAAGCAGATTATTTTGCTTTTCGTTGAACTCAGAAGTCGGAACTCAGACATGTGATTTACATCAGACTTCTGTGTGCATTACTGCCACCTACTGGTATGGCGTGTGGCTCAAAAAGTCATTTTTTTATTTTTCACCAATATTATCATATTCTGTTAATTAACTTTGTGTACCGCCAAATTCCCACCTCGCCCCCCCCAAAAACAACAATTAAAATATGAATACTTTCATTATTTGAATTTTCTTGCAGTATAAATTAATGGATTCTTTAATTTCTCCTGAATTCCTCCAACATTAATTTACTTTGTATCTCATATGTCCTCAATAAAATTGCATTTCCTATTTTCTTATTTCCTCCACAATATTGAGTTTCCAGCAATATCTTGCTGTATTCTGAATAATGAGTTGTAAAACATATACGTACAAATCTTAATAGTTTAAGACTTCTGTTTTTACTTCCTACTCTCATCTCTCTTACTTTCTTTTGAATTCTATACCGTTTTCTTTTGTTATCTTCCTCCCATTCTTTCTGCCACCTTTCCCTCACTTTTTGTTTTTGACATCAGCCTTGGAGTAAATGTTTAATTTAAATAGTTGGAATTTCAAAGTGGCAACAATCATAGACATTATTTGCTGTGCCCTTACAAGCATCATTTTAAGATTTACTCTAATTCAGCAAACACCACTGTTAATTTACCTAGTTTTGAGTTGCAGACGCTATCGATTTTAGATGCACTCTTGTAAAGTGAACATGTTTTCACCACAGCTTACAATTGTTTGTGAGAGGAGTGGCCATTTTGAAACATAACAGTAGGCCTTACAAGTTGTAATTGTGGGTCGTCAGAGTTATTCTGATGACCCAGAATGGGCATATGTCATTCCAGTGGGCATTCCAGTTAAATTTTTCCAACTGGGAAGTAAGAATTTTCCAGTTTTGAGCTCAACTGTAACCCAGCATTACTCTATACCTCCGAGGCGTGTCTCTCAGGTGACGGATGTGGTTCAGTTTCTTTATCATAACTGGTGGAGGCTGCCTCCACCAGAGCAAAAGAACAGATTGAAGCTATGTGTTTACCTGCCTGTAGAGCCCACAGAACATTTTATATTAAGCTGGAACGTCTTAATAAACTCAAAGTCAGAAGTTGCATCAGCAGACAAACCATTTCTGTGTTTGGGATTGGAGTTGTGGGGGGTTCTCCCCCACTGCGGCAAGGAGAATTGGGAAGATGAAATAAATAAGTGGTTTTATGTAACTTAAAATAATTAGGAATATGTCTTTTTTTTTTTTTTTTTTTAAATCACAGACAGTCCTGTATCAATCTTTAAATCAAACTAGACTTGGACAATTAACAAGATTTACCCCCAATCCTCTCTGTGCGTCTCCGCTTTAATTTCAGAGGTGTGTCCTAGTGAAGCATGATGGAGATTAACGCCAACCTGAGAAATATCTGAGGGACTAAATGTTGGCACTTTAACAGATCAACTGAAGCCTTTAAAGTAATGTCATGTCTGGAAAGGGCCTCTGTGGCACTTTACTGCTGCTGGTCCGCAATCATCACACACTCCTTCACAGTGACCCGTTTGATCTGTTTTGCAGGTGATACTCATGTTGACGAAATACTACGACTTCAACTCTGGCAGAGTAACAGAGAGTTCTTTGTGGAGGTAAGCTTTTCTGTTTATTTTCAACATCAATAATGTTTATATGTCAGAAGCAATTAATGGTGCAATTATAGCATTTGCAGCTTATTGGTATAGATTTGACACGAACCATATTTTTTGACATAAATGTTTGCACTCTGCTAAATGTTCAGTTGTGGTTAGATAACTGAATTATGGTAATGATTATACATTTTTGCTTATGTCACTCTTAATAATGACAATAATATTAATATTTCAACATAAAGTATGCTCTAAGTATTTTGGAAAAGTTTCAGTATCCCTGGAACTTTTTCATGTTTGCAACTACATTTTAATGTATTTTTTTTTACAAGTCACCTACATTTTAACTATAGAAAGAAAGGAAGAAAGAATGTATGGCAATTTAAAAGAATGACAAAAAAAATATAGGCTACAAAATAAAAATTTGACTCTATGACAAAAACACAACTATGCAAAAATAACATGCATGTTAAAAAAAAAATACAGCAATTAATATTTTCTTGTTTACAGTTTTTTTTTTTTTTAGCTTTCAAGCAAATTCATTTTTGGGTCCTGGACATTTTATACAACCAATATTGGAGTAAGAGGAAATTTGATATATTTTTCCCATTTATGACACATGGATTATATTTGTTCATTTTGAGCACAAAAAAGTCCCGTTTCGTTTAGCAAAATTGCCTCAGGATGTTTGTTGGCGTAATTTTCTACTTGCTTGATGTGCCTAACGATCCCATCAGCATCCTAACTATCAAAGCCCCTGTTGTCCTTTAGCCACTACTCAAACCTATTTACTTTGACCTATAATTCAATTACAGGTCAACCGATTATGGGACCACGTATGAAAAACTTAATGAGAAAGTGGGGACCAAGAGCATACTGAGCTACCTGTATGTGAGTCCAAACAACAAAAGGAAGGTGAGGTTCTGTCTGTGTCCTATGTCAAAATCCTGCCTGCGCTGAATAAATTTACAGACAGAGTATCTTTTGCACAACATTGCGATAATGCACAAGCAGGCTGCAAGCCTCTATCCAAGCTGTGGAGCAAACAAGCACATTTATTCCTTGTGGGAAAAAAAAATGTTGTCAAAGTAGGCTGCTGATTTCACCATCTCCTTTCTTGTCTCAGATCATGTTACTAACTGACCCAGAGGTGGAGAGCAGCCTGCTCATTAGCCTTGACGAGGGGGCGTCCTATCAGAAACACAGCTTAGGCTTTGATATTCTCAGCTTGCTTTTCCACCCGGAGCAAGAAGACTGGATTCTGGCTTACAGCCATGACCAAAAGGTAATGTGTAGGTGTCTACTCGTGTTTAGCGTGAACAAAGCAGAACGAAAACTGAAAATGTGAAAGAAGTGTCCTTGTGAGAACATGTCAGCTGAAGTGTTTGGGTTGCTTGCCTTGTACACTCCTTTTGTGGTTTTGTTTTAGAGCTTCATTTTTAGTGTAGTATCTGTAAGTAAAAAAAAAAAACAAAACATCTTTATTAAATAAAATAAAAGACATGTTGCTGTTTAGCTTTACTTGGGAGCAATTGTTCTGCTGAGACTTTTACACTGATACAGTACCTGGCAAAATTACTTACACTCAGTGATATTTTTTAAAATAAACACAGAGTTCAATTTATATCTGCATTTTATTTCAATATTATATAATACAGTCATACATAGTAGCAAATTTTTATGTTATATTTACACATAAAAATCTGAATGTGTCAAACGGAAGATTTTTAAGTCTTACTGGATTTTTACCAGTTCAACATATAAATTTGTTTTTATTTAAATCATTTCATTGTAGCTCCGGCTTTATATTTATGACCATTGTTTATTTTAAAAGTGAACCTTCCCCTGACTCAAATCTTAGGCTTCAACAGATTTTTATTTTTTTTTCATTGTATCTTGCTCCATTCATCTCCCCATTTACTAGGACTCCACTATAAATTGTATAAATGTTTTTGTTAGATTATCAGTCTGCAATATTCATAATACAACGGAATACAATGATTAAAACACTTTGCAGGTGTTATGATCCCACAGTTTGCATACAAGTGAAATATTTGTCCCAATCTGGGCATCTAATGCCATGATGACAATGCAAAATTAATAAGGGTTAAATAATGTATTAGAATCACAAATTAGTTACAAATAACTCAAATTCTGAAAGAAATTGGTTTCACTAGATTTTATTTGGAGGTGTCAAAGCAAATTTGGGTGAATACGATTGTAAAGCACAGTTTTCAGATTTAAATTAGTAAAAAGAATTACATATATATATATATATATATATATATATATATATATATATATATATATATAATATATATATATATATATTATATATATAAAACAACAGAGGAAAGTTATTGTGGTAGATGTAGCAATACCAAGTGATTGCAACATCAGGAAAAAGGAGCATGGAAAACTGGAGAAGAAGAACTGGAGAGGGCCTGGAAGGTGAAGAGCACAGTGGTGCCTGTGGTCATGTTGAAGGTACTTAATTACTTAATTGTGCTGTCAAATGGTACTACGCGCCTAGAAAAACACATAATACTGCCCTTTTAGACAAGGCTACAGCTGCTGAAACATCAGACCAGCTCCATCCTTAAACAAGCCATAAGGTCTGGCTGCAGATGTCTGAATGGTTCAGGGCAGAACAAGAGAAAATTTAACAAGGATGACATGCCCCCTCCAAAAATCCCTAGGCTCAACACGCATACACACATCTCTGAACGCAAATACACAGCATCCATTACCATGTGCAAGAACCCTGCTGTCTGCTCCACTCAGCAGCAGGGACATCAAACCCAGTCCTTCTCAGCTTGCTACCAGAAGACTTGATTTTCGGAGAGAGGAACAGACAAGGTCTGAGAAGTGAGATAAATGGTGGAGTAGGGAAGATGAAAAGCCTCACAAAGAGTGATCAGTGGGTCAAAATAAAGACGCTTAGGAGAAGCGTGCCTTCAGGCTATTCTGTATGTCTCTGTAAAGCTGTATCTCAATTGTTTTCTTTCTTTTATTCCCGCCAAAAGGAACTAAATGAACGTCAGCTTGGTTTCATTTTACATTTATTGATCGTCTGTCATGTTGTCTAAAAGTTGCAAGTTCTGAGATGGGTAAGAACGATGCTGCTGATCCCTCTAAAGCTCAGAGCTCAGGATGCATAGCACTCAATCGGTGAAGCAAGATGACACATCTTTAATGTTCTTGAGCACCAATAAAGCTGCTATATGGAGACGAACTGCAATGACAGTTAAAAGAGAGGTTTCACAGAGTTTTTAGATCACAATTCTGCTCAGATGCATTGTGAACGAATCTCGTGTCTTGGCGGGAGAACAAATAGTCTGTATTATCTAAAAGATTTTTCTGAAAACTTGGCACAGAAGCATGACTTCACTTTACCTAAAACAAATTGATTTTCCTCCTGCTACTGAATGTTATTCAAAATAACAGGATTTTGATTGCAAAAACTTCATAGAGTTGGCAGCTGCTCAATAATGCAATTGTAAATAAATTCAGAACTAATTCTGTTAGATATTTGGATGTGCTGATGCTGTATTTCATGTCATATTTATTTGTCAAAGGCATTCTCATTTTTTCAGCTCTATGTCTCCGTTGAGTTTGGGAAGAGATGGCAGCTTGTGCACGACAACGTCGTTCCCAACAGATTCTACTGGTGAGATCATCTGTCGGTCACATAACAGTGAAATAGTGTTGTTTTTGGAAAACTTCAGTGAAATTGTGAGCATCTCTGGTGCTTTTGTACACTGTTAGTGCTGGGGGAAAAAGATCAGTTCGCATAAATTTGTGGCAAAAAATGTACTGAATTATTTGAATTTAATCAAGGTAAAATATCTTCACAATATTTTCACATTTTCTCCAATTAGAAAATGATAAAATTACTATTTAAGATGAGTTATGCTTCACAGATGAATCATATGTATTACTTTTGAATGTATATGTTAGATCAATGTGTTATTTATAAAGATAACATTTTCAAGAGCACATGCAGTCTGTAATTTTTAACTGCAATGATTTTCAGGCTTCTCTGCTCCATGTATTTTAAAAGTTACTGTTGCATCGTCATTGTTAGAGATACAACATGGACTAAACATTTTGAAGCAAGCCATAACTTTAAATCGAAGGAAACCTTCAACCTAAATCAGACAGCTTTAATTTGGATTAACCAAATTGTTGCAGTCAATAAAAAAAGAATAGAATAGAATAGAATAGAATAGAATAGAATAGAATAGAATAGAATAGAATAGAATAGAATAGCTGGAGCTGGGACATTCACTCTCTACAAAAACTTTGCCACCTAAGAAAAGAAAAAGATAAAAAAATATTTCTATATTTCCTTAGATGTTTTCTGTGCTTGATGCAAATGATGCGGCCATTCCTAAGCAGACAAACACCTTTGTTGTTTAAGAAATTAAAAGCCACCGCATTGCATCGGCTGGGGTTAAATAATGTGTCATCTGGAAGACAGCTCTCAATACACATGCTCAGTTAAATGTGTTAAAGGTGGCACCTTTTCTTTGGCAAGACAGTATATATTTATACATAAAAACTGTAGGTGATTAATTTTAATTTCGACAGAACACGTCAAGTAGAGCATGCAGAAAAAGCACAAAAGCTTGTTTCGGCTCATCCAAAAATCAAACATTATTTACAAAATCCTGCTAACAAGCAGCTTGTTTCCGAAACATGCTGCATAGCCAACACACACTCAATATGAGACATTGTAGCGGCGTGTGTTAGTTATTGGAGAACACTGTAACATTGTGAGGCTTTATTTAAGAGTGCAGGCTGCTGTTCACTGATAGAATTGGATGAAGTATTTGACAGAAAGTCCATTAAAAGAGATGGAGCTGTGAGGCAATTACAGAGTGCTGAGGGAAGCAGGATGGGAGCTTTTTATATTATAGTTCAGACACAGTATGGAAAATGAGAGAAACCCATCTTCTGTCACAACAGCTGCTATTAATACAACAAGTGGTCACTTCTGCTGGTTGGTGCTTAACGGCTACGATGAAGAATCTGAAGTTCAAGGGGAATGAAATGGCTAAGTACATCTTACAAAAAAGAAAAAGAGCAGAGCAGGTCAACCGTCCTTCAAGTCACTGTCTAAAGATCAGGCCATTGTATTATGACTCCTCAGGGAACAATAAACAGCACTGCTGCATCTCCTATAAGACACTACGATGGAAAGGATCTTTGTTTGGTCATAACTTCTACACCGCTTCACTTTGTTTATGGATTTCTCACTGCAGCAAAGAGAAGATGATGAAGTGTTTTCTGCTATTGACAGTTTTAAAATCAAATTTATAAAAAGAGATACAGTCAATGTAGAGTACATAATTCACAAGCTGAGAACCTTGCCCAGATAAATTAGATACTTAAATATAAGCAAACATTTTTTACTGCACGTTTTTTTTTTTTTTGTTTTGCTCCTTTAGCTTCTCTAGGTTTTATTCTACGTCTCAAAGATACGTTGACAGAATCCTGTTTTCTGTAGCTCAGTAACACTCACTTTCAGAGGAGACTGCTGATTTGATGATGTGCACATAATAAGAATGATTTTGTCCTTTTGAGAAGTAAGAGTGTTTTTGTTTCAACGTGAACGGCTTCAGCTGGGCAACTTTATGAAATTACAAATAAATACACTCATTAGTATTCCGGCCCACTCTGCAGATGTTTCTGACAAAGTAGTACATGCTGTTCTGTGATCCACTGCAGATGGCAGCTCCTGTTTGACATAAACTCATGATGCTTGCACAGCTGATATGAGGCATTAATTCATAGTTTTCCTGTAAGTTATTTGACTTGCAGCTAATTTAAAAGCAACCTCGTTCCACTGAAAAATGTAGGTGGGCCATGATCTTGTTTTGTGAGGCACACTGTTTGTCCAGGAAACAATATACTCTCTACATAGCACAGACAACACTTTATTTAAGCAGGTTATTGACATTAATAACACTGCTTTGTATAGTGTATTGAGCCAAAAATTATGGAGATAAGTGATATTTTAAATAATAATAAATTTCCTTTTGAAGCTGTCCATGCCTGTTTAAACATAATTCAATTTATATCATTCAACATTTATCTGGTAGACCAAAATAACTAGTGAATAAATAAAATCGAAAGAGTGGGGAATGCATCTGAATTCATTTAGTTGATTAATGATGGTGTTAAAATGGTGCAGTCTTTGCCTAGAATAAATATTGATTTGAAAATTTGTGCCAGAATTGAAGTTTACAAGTGAACTCCATCCAGTCTAAGTAAAAATGTTAATCTCTAGATGTGAATCGTTGGTAGATATTCTACATATTCTACAAAATATTCATTGACAGAGCTGAATATAAAGTTTTCTGATTTTATTTTTTAAAACAATTTATAAACCACATATAATCTTCCTCATAAAACCACATACAATCCTGTGTTGACTCAACAACATTTGTGATTACAATGTGTGAAGAAAATTGAATGAGCGGGAATACTTTTAAAACTCCCTGTAACTCACAATGAAGTTGATTTGTAGCCATGAATCCAATGATTCTCGCCATGTCTTTCACAATGTTTCAGGTCTAGACTGGGTTTGGACAAAGACCAAGGGATGATTCACCTCGAGATCACCATCTCAGATGGACGTGAGTCAAAAACAAGATATTTTACCTCATGCAATTTGAGGAATAAAACCTAAACTATAACCGTTCACTGATTTAATCAAAGACGAAAGAGGATGGAGGAATAGATGGTTTGGAAAGGTGGAGCTGCATTCAGGGGGGTCTCATTATCTGGAAAGTAAGATGCAACATGTGTGGGTTAGATTTGAGTTAGCTAATGACCAGGCCACCTTGTTGCTCCTTGAGTTGGTATGAGGAACAAGGACACCTTTTATTACAAATAGTAAATGGAATCAACATTAAGAGTGAGGTAGGTTTACTTCTATTTCTTAAAAGCAAATTTGAATTTCACAGATTTGAACAGTTTCATTGTTAAACATTTGCTTTCAGAATCTTTATTTGGAATTGTTTGGTGCAATTCTAGAAATTACAACTTAATATAAGCTTTTAGTAAATAACTAATAGTTTTTTTAAATGCAGCTAAATGACTTTGAAGAAGGAGTTACAGCAATAAGTATTGGCAATCAGAGAAAAAAAAATGTCCACACATAAGGGATGAACGAAATGTTTGGTGAGAGCAAACAGGCTGTTGTGTATTATCGTTTACAGAGATGGAACATTATTACCTCATATACGGTAATAAGACACCTTCAAGTCTAACAAAAAAAATAGTCTGTTGTTCATCCTCTATGTATTACATAGTATCATGGATAAAAATGGTGAGAAACCTTAATTTTAGACTACAGAGGGTTGTTTTTGCATTTCTTGCATTCTTAGCAATATTTTGTCGACTTCCCACAGGGTCGCAGTACATAACTTGCAAACTTCAGAACTGCTCAGACGGAAACAAGGGCAAACCTTTCCCTGGATTTATAATCCCAAACTCCCTGGTGGTGCAGGATGAATACGTTTTCATCCAGGTGGGTTTTTACTGCAAGGTCTGGCTTCATTAAAAGACGATTAAAAGCTGTAAAATCAGTGCGTTCAGCCGCATCTTAATGTACAGTCGTGTTTTTCATTAACTAAAAGGTGTCATTATGCTGGCAAGGGAAAGGATGAAAATAAAATCACTGCCTTTTATTACTGCAACTACACCTCACTACAACTCTCAGCATCACAATTAGAGACTAACGCGAGGTTTTTATGGTGGAATTCATTTTTTTTTAAAACAGAAGCTTTCAGTAATCAATGTATTTTAATGTTTATTGTCATTACCTAAAATGTTTTGGGTGTATTTCTCTTGAAGGTGTCAGTCAGTGGCCAGGCTGTCCATTATGTGTCATATAAAAGACATGCCTTTTACCCAATGAAGCTTCCCAAATACACCCTCCCTAAGGTAATATTGCATCTAATATTTTCTTATAATTCTTCACATTGTTAATTTCCAGACATGCCTTTAGCTACCCACAATCATGATATGTAATCTTAAAATCCATACAACAGATGTTGGCTGGAAACATAAATCAAGTAAGCATCTTTCAGAATGCTAAAGAAACATTTTATTTTTATTTTACACAAATCTGGATTTTCTGCACAAACACAGCTGGGTGGATTAGTGGTTTGGCACTCGGGGTCAGAATAATCGGGCAACATCAATGCTTTAAGAGTTGTGGCAGTAAAGGGTCAAAGTGCCCTGTAAATTGTGAAAATGTCCTTGAGAAGCGCACATATTGCCTTACATGTCTCACTCTATCTTAAAATTTCAGTAAAGCTAAATGAACTCAATCTTCATTTCTGGTGCACAGCGTTAATCGCCCTCGGTCTAATTGCTGGGGAGTGATTTAAGAATTAACAAATTACTACTTCCCCTGTGTGACCACTGTTTGCTCATTCCCAGACTTTTATTTTTTCAGTTACATAAAATTTGTGCTATCCATTTAAACAAAATCTCAAACCTTTCCTTGTTATTCCCTCATATTTAGGACCTGCAGATAATCAGCACAGACGAAAACCAGGTGGTGGCAGCGATTCAGGACTGGCATCAGAATGAGTCGTACAACCTCTACATGTCTGACTACAGGGGACTGTTCTTCACTCTGATGCTGGAGGATGTTGTTAGCACCGGTGGTCCAGAGGACAATGTTATGATAGACCTCTATGAGGTAAGCAGTTACTACGCTGTGAGGCTGCTGCTGTTGTCTGACTGCTGGGTTTTGAGCCTGACATAAGCTGAAGTTAGTTTATGCTTCCTGCAACTTTTATCATCATGTTATATTATAATCATTGTCAGGCCTCATTTAGGTTCCTAGGTAAAAGACTTCTAATTTCTCTTACAGCGCTGTTTATAATTTAGCCCATAAGCTACATATTCTTGAAAACTGTTTGGAAAATGTTAGCAAGGACTTGTGTTCTTGCAGATGTGAATTTCATATTGTTATAAATATATTTGACCTACTTATCAAAAACAAAAACAAAACAAAAAAACACATGCATATGCTTCAAATGCTTTTTTAAAAGATGTTCTGTTTTAAGAGTAAGAGAGTGTCTTAGCACTGTCAATCAAGATTGTGTATGTGCTGCTTGCACCCTCCCTCGCACTTGGTGTGTAAACTGAAGATTACAGGTTTGCTGCAGCTGTGCTCACCATGGCGAAACAAACTAACATCACAGGAAAATTCTTTATCCATTGTCTTCGGAAGCCATGCTTACAGAGAGAAAAGGGAGGGTGTGAGCAGCGCATACCCTAGTGTGATTGACACATCTAAGACCTTCCACAAGGAGGAGACAGAGGAATTAATTTCTCCACAGATTATCTGTCTCATATTATACCCTCAAAATATGGTGACAGTTTTAGCAAATATGTAAAAAAACATATTTTGATAAAAGTGATCTACCTCAGCTTTAACACAAGCTTTAACTTGTGCCAGGAACATAAATCTGTGTTGACAGAACTACTATGAACTTGCAGGGATTCCACATGAATGCATCAGTGCACATTATCCTCATCGTCATCCAACAGTGAAAGTATCATGTAGCTACAAACACACACCTCAGATATCCCTCAGTAGTTGCTGAGACGACCTTGCCACACATGGTTGGTTATGAAACAGTGTTTTTATTCTCTTACAAAGATTTGGCAAAACCTAAGGAGAAATGTGGACACAGTTGATGTCTGCTATATGTTAAATCTGCATCTTTGCACACAGGCTGAAAAAAGAAGACATATCCCACGGCTCTGCCATATGTTGTTTTGATTTTACACAGCCATACAGATGGTCCAAAATAGTGCTCCATGTCAGAAAAGCTATCACTCCCAGACATCTCTCTCTCTCTTGCAAAATGAGGCCCTCAGCTTTACTTAAGTTTGAATATTTTAAAGCTTTTTCTTAGTTTTTTTTTTCCCATTCCTTCTTTTGTGTTATTTTTCTCCATTCCGCTTCATGCCTCTCGTACACGCAGGTTGCCGGGATTAAAGGAGTTTTCCTGTCAAATAAAGTTGTTGAGAACCAAGTGAAAACTTATATCACGTACAACAAGGGCAGAGACTGGCGTCTTCTTCAGGCTCCAACAACCGATCTCCAGGGAAACAAGGTCTATTGTGAGCAAGTAAGTGGGCCACTGACAGGAGGTAGATATACTTATTTGGATTTCCATTATCTGCTCTCAGAAGCTTCACACTGTATCATGCTGTATTCTGACAACGCTAAAGACAGTGAATATAACAAGATTGTTAACACCACTCAAAAGTAATTGGTTAATTTTAACTGCCGTTTCTTCTGACTGGACATCTTATTGAGATGTCTGAGTGACCCACTCAATGTCTCAACTAGAATCTGAGTCTTTGACTTAAGCTAAAAATTAGGGCATTGGTAAATAGGCCTTCCAAACTCAGAGAACTGGAGCTCATCAACAATGTAAAACCTCCAAAATACAAGTGAATAAATATAAAAACTTACTTAATAATTTGCTAAATATACTTATTAAAACCTTGAATATAAAAAATTGATTGAGCATATGACAAACCTCTAAATAATTTCAATTAAAACTATTAATTTGCATAACAACCTTCTTGTGTTTAGTTTATTACAGGTTATTAACAATTTATGTTAATAACCTAAATTCATTTATTCATGTACATTTAGATTATTTCAGAGAAAGAAAATCTTTATTTGGAGTAAACATACCCAACACTATCACTAATTAATTGTTAAAATAAACAATTATTTACATATAAACTATTCTTTGAACTTTGTCAGAAACTTGATGTGGAACAAAACAGCAAAATAAGGCAAAGGCTAAGCTGGCAGCCATTAATCATCTGCTCCTCTCAAAGTTTTGCCTCCTGCCATCAGGGAGGAGTTATACTTTTCCTAACCAGGCCAAGTCGAATGGATACTTGAGATCGTTTGTCCTAACACCTGACGGTTTTGCTAACAAACTTGTCTGTGCTCAATTTCTCAAAGGAAAACGCATGACAAGTATGTTTTTAGATATTGTGGACATGTATTTATGGGTTTATTTTTCCTGCACAAGTTTTCTTTCGTGAAGTGTGTTCGAGCTGCCTGTTTTTGTGAAACCAAACATCCCCTGTGGGGTTTTCAAGAATATTCTTCACAGGTCATAAAGACTACTGTGTATATTTGTGGTGGCATGAGAAATGATTTGTTGTCCACAGATTTATTCAGTTTTTTTTTTTTTTTTGCTATTTGCCACACTTCAGTTTTTCAGGTCATGTAAAAATCATTATCAAGCAAATCTGAATTACTATTGAAAGCTGTTTTCAAATGACAATTATACTTGTTGAAGTAAAAAATGCAACCACAAATTACATGGCATTATGCTAAACACAAAAAATATTTCTGCCACAACTGGAAGAAACATTGCAACAACTGCCATTGAGCATTTGTGACATCTTTTACATCGATGTGGAGTGATTTTGTCCCACAGTTCTTTGCAGAATTGTTTTAATTAAGATACATTTCTGCACAAGCAGCAGGAGTGTGTCTTGGGTTGTATCACAGCCTCTCAATTGGATTTAAGTCTGGATTTTGACTTTGCTTCAAAACCATTGTTCTGCTGCATTCACAAAGTGAACTTGAGCTCAAGGCCATGAACTGATAAGTGAACTTTCTCCCATAGGATCTTAAGGTAAATGGAAAATTTCATGACTATCAGGTTCTGAAGTTGCAAAAGTTGCCTCTGGCTATATTTGACTGTAGGTGTGCTCTTTTCAGAAATATTGGTTAGTTTTATAGAAGATTTGAGGGGACACACACCCACACATTTTGTCTCGTCAATCCACAGAATATGTTCTGCGAAAAGCTTGGGTAACTTCAAGATGTTTTTGATGAAAGCGAAGAGAGCCTTTGTGTCATTTTTGATTTGCAAGGACTTTTTAAATGTGCCCAGTTCTTCTTTTTTCTTCAATTATGAATATGCATATTTACAAGAGCAAATGAAGTCTACAGTGCCGTGGATGTTACTCTGGTTTCTGGACTACTGAATTAGTAATTGATAAACTCTTAGAGTTAAATCCATTCTTGTGTTCTTTTCTCTACTTCTTATTGTTTTTTTTTTAGATAATTGTTCAATATAAGGTAAAAATTGTATTACGATGTTCCACTGTAATGGCAGCAATTCAGGGCCCTAAATGCAAATATCAGACATGCTTTTTGGATTTTGGAGGTGGATACTACCAGAGTCCTAAAGCAGGACTTTTGTAGCCCTTTCGAGACTGATAGTCATTTCTAGACTGTAAATGACTTCCATTCTCATCTGTTCTTGAAAACCATAACAAATCTATACAGATACTTTGGATACATGACATGGATGATTAATTGACATCACAGACTATACTTTTTTTTTTTTGTAAAACATTTGACATCACAATATTTCCAACGAAATCTTCTTTTAACATTTTAGAATTGAACAAATGTTAAAATATTTGCAATGGAATCAGCTTTTCTTTTTGCACATGCTTAACTCCAACAAATTAATCTCCTCTGTTCGACAGCCATACTGCTCTTTGCATCTTCACCTTCATGTCTCAGAGAACCCTTACGCCTCAGGAAACATTGTCAGCAAAGACACGGCTCCAGGGGTTATAATAGCATCAGGTGAGATTTGATTTGCACAGGAATCTGCAAATGCATATTTGTGTTTACTCTCTGTCATAATGCTGGTCTTTGATCATATTCTCTCTGGCACTTGCAGTCAGATCTGTATTTTAGCTCCGTTCTCATGCACTTTCCTCCCATGACAACACTTTAGGTGATAGCTGTCTTTCCCATACATCTGTTGTGTTCTTATCTCAACAAGCAGAATGACAGCACTTTGCAACACAAAAATTGTTTTGGTGATATCTTTGAAATAATTTGGAGTATAAATAAGTTGTATTTTTTATGCCTTTGTTTATTTAGGTGTGGTTGGTCCAGAATTAAGCAATGTGAATGTCAGTATCTTCATCACATCTGATGCTGGAAATACCTGGAGAGAGGTACAATGTGGTTTGGGGGGCTTTGGGTGTGACACATTTCTAAAATTCCTTTATGCCTCAAATGTCAATATAGCAAGTGACCGTGAAGCTCCCTTAACACTCTATATGATACCGATGGAGTTTATTTGTCCTGTCAAAGTCTTGACCTAAAACTAATATAGAATCTGGGAATAAGTCTTCTTAGATACTCCCCATCCAATTGGACTGAGATTGAGCTACTTTTTATTGGTTTTTTTTTAGATAATTGTTCAATTTTTATAAGGGGTATTTTCCACTGTAATGGCAGCAATTCAGGGCCCTAAATGCAAATATCAGATATGCTTTTTGGATTTTTAATTTCAGGTCCGGTTACTGGTTGTGTTTTTCCTCCTTCAATCATTTTACCTTTTCACCTCCACTGAGAGCTTCTGTAGTCATAATGAGTTGGGCTCAGTATATTTTTTAATTAAAAGTAACCTATCTCTAGGTGAATCTGAATAAAGAACAAACAAAGACAATATCGCTCAGACATTTATATACAAGCTATTTTTTTTCTTTTTTTACCCCCTTTTCAGCTTTTGGTGCTGAAGTCACATCTGCATAGAAATAGAGAGGCGAGGTTTTACAGCCAGCCTTGTGCAATCCTGATCTCTTGAAACAAATAAAACAAAGGGCGCGTACATATTTTTGCCACTGGCGTAAGAACCCAGAAATCAGCAAAGATACCAATATTTGTATGACATTTTTCACACGACAGAAACTCTTGTGAAAACAGCAGCTTTGTGTTGTGTTTGTTTGCCATTTAGGTGAGAGGATGCATCCATTATTTTGTTTGAACTGCTGTATACCTTTCCAGAGTCTTGAACAATTTTCTCTGATGTGTAAAAGCAAAGGTGGCTGTGTGTGTATTGTGCAGGTTTTTCAGGAAGAGTACAGCGTGTTTTTCCTGAATCAAGGAGGATCTCTAGTGGCCATCCGACATACACCTCTGCCAATTAGACACATTTGGTATGACTTTCCAAGGACGTTCCACGTCTTTTTAGAGAGCATACTCAATCTTTAAAACAAGGAGTGAGATTGCTTTTCTTGCAAAGCCTTTTCTGACTGAATTATACTCCATTTGTGGTGGGTCTCTCTTCCCCTCAGGCTGAGTTTTGATGAGGGCAGAAACTGGGACAAATATAGCTTCACCTCCTCTCCACTCTATGTTGATGGGGTGCTGGGGGAGCCTGGAGAGGACATCCTCATAATGACGTAAGATGTGGAAGGATTATGAGAAGATTATGTGTTTTCAATATGCTAATTAATGCAGAGGCTAATTATTTATTGCCCTGATGTCTTGGAAAACTCTGTCCCATATACTGAATGCTATGACCTGTTTTTCTGACTTGTTTTCCAGGATATTTGGTCATTTCAGCCATCGATCTGAATGGCAACTTCTCAAGATTGACTTCAGGCCTATATTTGAAAAACGGTGCACATCTGAGGACTACGTGACATGGCAGTTACACAATGAGGTAGGAAGGGCTTTTTAATAGATATCTTCACTTTGCTCTGATATGTACAACAACATTTGATAGAAGCCAAGAGACAGTAAACCTTTGATGAAAATTTGTATATCATATATACTGGCAGAAGTTGCTAGAGATGAGTTACACAGGAGTTTCTAAGACTGGCTCTGTTGCTCAGACTTTCTCACATAGTAAAATATCTGTAGAGGAATCTATTTAAATAAAACATTTGATGAGATTTTCTAATGATTTTTTTTTCCAAAATTGCTCGAAGGTTCTTTATTATTTAACATTGAAAAAAAGCACATCTGACATTTTTCTCACACATCTCTGGAAGTTTATGTGAGGAGGAGGAAGAGGAGAAGGAGGAGGGTTCGCTGGCAGCTGAGAATATGTGCTAATGGGAAACAACTTTTCTCACCTCCTGTTTTCATATTAAAAAAAATCAAAATTTAGATTTTAGTTGAGCATGTTCACTATTGAAATGTTCAATTATTAAGGTGCTGGAGATAAGCCATATTGGTTACACGTTATTCACTGTTTATATTAGTAATAAACCAAATAAGGCAGACAAATGAGAATGAGCATTCCTCAGCTCAAAAGGAGAATATTTAGATTGATTAAGTTTCTAGTTTTACTTACATATTCTCAAAAGAGTACTCACAAAAGACTCTGCGAAGATTACAAACTATGCAGAATCAGTTCTCCATTTTGTACCCCAATTTTGCTTCAACTTACCTCCCATGTATTTACCGAAACCAATAGATGAATTAAATGTATTGATAAATATTCTTAAAAGTGCTTTAAATCTCCCATTTGTATATAATGGTGTTTTATTTTGTAAATAATAATTTTGCACCCTATTTCTATTACTTGTGGTTTTTTTCCTTGCTAGTCCTTTCAGCTTTAATAACAAATTAAATTTAATAACATATGGAGGATAGAAAGTGACACATGGTCAACATAAAACATTTGGTGTGTGTCAGTAGTTTTTCTGCACCAGTATCTGAGATTAGCTTAGCAAAATACCCTCGAAACTGCAGGTTTAAAACCACCTCAGCTTGGCTAATTTTGCTAACGTGGTTCTTGTTAAATATTGACAGATGGAGCCCTAACAACACAACGTAACAGGTTGGGTTGTTAGGGCTGCACAGGATTGCACATCTGTTGGCTTGCAGCAAGAAAGTTTTTCTGCATTTTCTTCTTGAGAAAACATGGGTAATAAGGGTTTGTGTATTGAGTTTTGACCCACCATATTTTTTGCAACCCCAGAAAATATAATGCTGCTAAGCATTAAACAGTCCCTCATGGCCAGATATTGCAGTCACATGCTTTCAGGATGTTTAATTTTGCACAGATCTTCAAAATCCACAAGAAATCCTTCCTAGTTTATGACTGAGTTAAAACAACCCAACATCTTTCTCAACAAGATAAACCCAACATTTGAGTGAAATATATAACCCAGCTAGTTTTTGTCTATTTTTGCTAAGTTAATAATTTCAGCCAGAGAATCAGACTATTCTCCATGTATGATGCAAATCGTTAGACTTTCTACTGCCTATGTCAGAGTACTACAAAATGCAAGCTTCAAAAAGATCAGCCAGTGATTAATCTTAAACAATCACTCTGATTTATCTACACAATGGAGAATAAGATTCTATAAAACAAAGGGGAGAAGAAGATATTTTTATGATGCATTATTTATCACAGGGGGAAGTGTGCATCATGGGAATGAAGAGAATCTTCCAAAAACTGAGAGCAAACGTTCGATGTGTCAAGGCCAGAGATCAGTATATTTCTCAGATGTCAGACTCCTGCGCATGCACAGAGGCAGATTTTGAGTGGTGAGTTACCCCTTTGCAGCTACACTCTTTTCACTTCATTAAGTCAAATTCTCAACACTTCATAAGTCTCCGGAGGCAGAATGTGTGAAGCTAAAACAGACACAAGAAGAACAGAGTTTAGGACATGTCACAATTCAGAAAGTTTTTTAAAGTAAAACACAAAGATGGATGGATGGATGGATGGATGGATGGATGGATGGATGGATGGATGGATGGATGGATGGATGGATGGATGGATGGATGGATGGATGGATGGATGGATGGATGGATGGATGGATGGATGGATGGATGGATGGATGGATGGATGGATGGATGGATGGATAGATAGATAGATATAGATAGATAGATAGATAGATATAGATAGATAGATAGATAGATAGATAGATAGATAGATAGATAGATAGATAGATAGATAGATAGATAGATAGATAGATAGATAGATAGATAGATAGATAGATAGATAGATAGATAGATAGATATAAGATATAGATAGATAGATAGATAGATAGATAGATAGATAGATAGATAGATAGATAGATAGATAGATAGATAGATAGATAGATAGATAGATAGATAGATAGATAGATAGATAGATAGATAGATAGATAGATAGATAGATAGATAGATAGATAGATAGATAGATAGATAGATAGATAGATAGATAGATAGATAGATAGATAGATAGATAGATAGATAGATAGATAGATAGATAGATAGATAGATAGATAGATAGATAGATAGATAGATAGATAGATAGATAGATAGATAGATAGATAGATAGATAGATAGATAGATAGATAGATAGATAGATAGATAGATAGATAGATAGATAGATAGATAGATAGATAGATAGATAGATAGATAGATAGATAGATAGATAGATAGATAGATAGATAGATAGATAGATAGATAGATAGATAGATAGATAGATAGATAGATAGATAGATAGATAGATAGATAGATAGATAGATAGATAGATAGATAGATAGATAGATAGATAGATAGATAGATAGATAGATAGATAGATAGATAGATAGATAGATAGATAGATAGATAGATAGATAGATAGATAGATAGATAGATAGATAGATAGATAGATAGATAGATAGATAGATAGATAGATAGATAGATAGATAGATAGATAGATAGATAGATAGATAGATAGATAGATAGATAGATAGATAGATAGATAGATATAGATAGATAGATAGATAGATAGATAGATAGATAGATAGATAGATAGATAGATAGATAGATAGATAGATAGATAGATAGATAGATAGATAGATAGATAGATAGATAGATAGATAGATAGATAGATAGATAGATAGATAGATAGATAGATAGATAGATAGATAGATAGATAGATAGATAGATAGATAGATAGATAGATAGATAGATAGATAGATAGATAGATAGATAGATAGATAGATGACTCTTTAATCTGACATTATTTTTCAGGAGTAATTTGGTTTCCTGGAGAGTTACCCAGACTGAAGATGACCTACTTTTCTCTCAATATCTAACAAGTACTGTTACATTTCCCATACACTACTTCAGTCAGCTCCACGCTTTCTTTTATCTTTATGTCTGTAAGTAACATTCAGCATTTTAAGCTTAATAACAATTTATTACTGAAAGCTTCTCTGCTCCTCTGGTTGTGATTCCCTCATGAAAGAAACATGAAAGATCTGTAAGACATTATTGGATATAATTATAATTTTTGTAAACACAAACAATGATTTCTCTGCTTGTGACTTGTGATTCATAAAACATCAAACCTCAACCAGCTGTTGTTGTGTGGGAACTTTTCACACATCAATCACTTTTCTCTTGCTTTGAAATTATTGATTTCATCATCACTAAATATTTCTGCTTGAACTTTAACAGAAATATTAAGTAGCCCAGATAATGCCCCAGTGTGCCTTTTTCTCTCAATTTAAAACAGTGACTATGGGTTTGAGAGGCAAGTCGATGGGAGCTGCACTTCAGCTTTTTGGTTCGTTCCTTCAGCATCAACTCGAGACTGTATTACGGGGGACAGCTTCTTCAACACGACAGGGTACGTTTAGTTCAGATATGCTGACATGAACCAGAAGGCACAAGCTGTGAAAATGCAGCTTTGAAAAAGTGTGGAAGAAAAGTAGAAAATTGTTCAAATGGTTGGTTGCACACTGTGTACTTTGGATCAAATATTTCAAAGCTGATGCAAAGCATACAATGACCAAAGTTACAAAAGTGAAGGAATGGTGAAGGAATAAATGAAAACATTAGAATAATAATAATAAGATTTACAACCAGTGAGGTAGATTTTCATGTACTGCTGTTGCTATTAACAAAAAACACTTTTAAAATGCATGGAACAGCTGTATTTGTATTTTTAGTACTTTTGTAAACTAAATCATTGCTGGTCAAATTGCCATTCCTTCTTGTTATTTATCCATTACATGGATGGCAATGGTCTACAATAAGATCTAATATCATATCTTCACCATGGCTAGATATAGAAAGGATGTGAGCCTCACATTCTTTCTAAATGTGGGGTCACATTTAGCCTGAAGTGAACTCTGGCATGGTTTGAATGCATATGTGAATGACCATCAGACTAGAAACCTGTCCAAGAGCAGGAATCAGACTTTAGTGCAGGACATTCTGGTTTGAAAGAACCAAAACAAACCTGTGTATCCAGCACCAGTAGAAGAAATATATCTTTGTCTTTTACAAAAAAAACAAACAAGAAGTCCTACAACCACTAAAATCTGACGCTGTTCCATTTTTATCTGGATTTTGTCAAGAGGGAAGTTTTGCTCATGTCTTCACAACATGACATATAGTCCCAGATCTATGAGTTTAGAGGTACTTCTACTGCATTTGGTTGACAAGATTCCTTTCTTGTACAATGAGGTTTAAGTGGAAAATGTGAGTGTAATTTAATGTTCCAGTCTTTGGGAAAGACTTTCTGAAGTAATTTCCACCCCATGTGGGTATATCAGCTCCTGATAAGTGACAGTTCGCCTGAGGGACTGAAGAGCTCAGGTGTCAAGTTTGAGATTCTGTCCTTACTCCTGCACTAAATATTCTTCCTGCTTTCTTTTGTCAGTTGAATATGCGCTAACGTGAGTACCCAGGTGTCTGGTTGCTTGAAGGAATAATTTAAGCAACCAGAGGACAAGATATTCTTCAGAAATACTTCTGTTGAATTGTTATTAGCAGTGAATGACTCTCTCAGACTCTTTATTTTGTATGGATACAGATGAACTTTTCTCAGAAGCTGGGATGACAGGCGCCATATGTAAATTGTATCAACGCTGTTTCAGAAACATTGAGACCACACCCATGCTTTCAATTGATCATCCCAGAAAAACAGTATAGTTGCTTAACATGTTGCAATAAGCTGCAGCGAAGTGTTGTTCGCTGTAGTACCTGGTAATGAGAAAGGTCCTGAGATGGATGGGTTCTCTCTTACTGCAGGTACTTAAACAAAAGGAGTGCACATGGAGCTTTCCACACATTCAATGATAATTTTATATTTATTTACTATAAAGTGAATTGTTTCTGTAATCAGCAATTCAATTTTCATTGGTCTCAGATGAAAGTGAAAGAAGAATTTGGCTGGCTGAAGAATCTACATGTACAGTGACTTTAAAACTGTGCTAGTGACCACATTAGAAATCTTGACTTATAAGATATAAAAATTAAGTTGTACGTACTATTCTGGGTTTTTTTTATTGCCGACTACATTCTCAAGCTACAATGGGAAATAGCTACTTACTACTCAGATACAAAACTGATGTATTCTTTGTGATTTAATTGCAAAGAGATTTACTACTTATAACTTCTAAATAGTACCCCAAACTTGATACGTTTTTCACACCAGACCTTGTTCTTTCTGGATTGTATTGTATATCACCATTCATAAATGTAAAATAAACAACAACAAAAATTAATGAAACTAAATGCCATGCACTCGAACTGAATTTCTGCATGAAAGTGAAGGCATTTCCATTGTAAATTTTCAGTTTTTCATAGCCTATTCCATGTTTTTACAATTTTGGTTTATTTGTCTGTTTTTCACTCAAAGCATGGAAAAGTGTTTATGTTGTTAATTTCATTCCAGATATCGCAAGGCTTTGTCGAACAACTGCACTGAGGGAAGTCTGTTGAAGTACAGCCCGAGGCAACAAAAGTGTCCCAGCCAGGCTCCCAGGGGCCTCCAGCTCTTCACCAGCGAGGGAACATTTGTAGCAATGCTGGGAAGGAATGTTACTTTCTTGGTCTTTCTGGAAGAGGTGATGATTTCATTAGAAAACAAAAACAAAACAAAATAGATGTTTGCTGTCTAACAGTAAACATAGAATAGATTAGAAAGTGCAAGATGATTGAAAAACGTGTTATACTGAATTCAATAAACTTAGACTGTAGAAATGAAGACAAGCATAGACCCAATTCAAATTTACATGAAATAATCATTCCATAAATGCAGCTGAAACAAGTTTACGTTTACCGAAAAGAAAGACATCTTCTCACGGTCTGAAGTTTATTCAGACCAGTTTTCTCTTGATTTAACTTAGTTAGAATAACTAAAATTATTTATTTTTTACTGAACATCAATGTGATGAGAGAAACTCTGTCACAGATTAACTTATTGTCTTCAAAGTCAGAAGTTTATATTAATGATTGGAGACTCATCTGTGGATGTATTTCAAGACCTCACCTGTAACACACTGTTCTCTTGATTAACATGATGGTAAGCTGTTTCTTCAAAAGAAGAATAAAAAAGCTAGATTACAATTTTAAAATGCACACAGGAACAAAGACTTTAATTTTGGAGACATGTCCAGTGAAATTAATGGATTAAAGTTCAACTGTTTGGCCTTAATGACCAGCATTAAATTTAGATGAAAAACAGAGACAATTTCCCTACACTGACTGTAAAGTGCGGGTTGACAGTATCATGTTGTGAAATTGCTCGGCTGTAGACAATGGTACACTTCATAAATTAGATGGCAACATGAGGTAGAACAATCTGTGGAAATATTGAAGCAATATCTAAAGATATCAACCTGGAAGTTAAAGATCTGACTTAGTTACATCAAAGGTCATCAAACTTTTGAAGGTCAAACTATTGGGCATCCAAACATGATGGATACCCAAAATTAAGTCATCCAGTTGAAAGGCAACTCATACCAAATAATTAGGAAATGTATGTACAATTCTGATTTTTATGTTTTCTCTCAATGTTGTGGTATTTAACAAATAAAAATAATTTAGGTAATTCAACCTGACCTAAAACTACTTAAATAATGGTACATGTGTCATTTTATTCACTGCATGCAAACCTCTGGTTTCAACAGTACATAGATCTGAAACAAAGCCACCTGTTTTTACTGCACATTAACTCACCTTTCATCACTCACCTTTACAGTGGTTCATCAGTTACAATAATATGCAATTCAATCTTTAAAAATGCAATTTCAGCTTAATAATAACTAATTGATTTTAACATACTTTATCTTTCACTGTGTATTCGCAAGTTGGCATGTTGGAAAAAACAACAATAGTTGCAAGTGTCTCACAAACGCTCTCCCACTGTGTTGTAGGAGCGTATCATTGTTGATTAATAGAGATACTGTATATCTCAACCCTGAGAATTTCATTCATGAGATGAGACTTTAAATCCTGCGTAAGATCAAATATTTAAAACAGCTAATAACAGAGGCAGTGATGCAAACTAAGATTTTTCTCTCTCTCTCTTCTTTGGAGTTAAGAATCTTGGATCACAAGTAACTGGAGAATTTTAGTGATGAATTAGTGAATGAAAGGATTCTGGAGTCTGGTCTTGTTGCATTATTTTTGGCCAGAGGCGGGTATAATTTCCCACTGTGCTCCCATTTCAGATCACAGGGGGAGTGTATTTAAATGATTCACACACTGTGATTTTTGTTTTAAGACCTGCGGTAAGCAATTCACTGCTGACTGTGTGCCAATTTTTACAAAAGAAAAAAAAAAAAGACGGTCTTAAATTTTACACTTGATGTGAGCGTGAGAGATGCTGGAAAGAAGAGGCGCTGCAGGGAGCAGGGAGTGTGTGATGGGAGAGGAGAGCACTGCTCCACTCGTTAAACGCCTGGGGGATAATGTTCATACATGGATAGTGAAGACGTGTTATTAATTTAAAAGAGAAAATTAGAGTTAAGCAACGTAACATTACCAACTACAATGGACTAAATGAAGTTTGTAATAATGCATTTTTTTTATTCCCTTCCAACTATATTTTCAGTCACAGAATTTTTGGTTGAAGGAAAAAGGGAGCCAGGGCTAGACTTGGTGACTTTCTTACATTTTTCTATATTATCAGCACAAATCTCAGTGCACATAATTCACATTCTATAGTGTGACAAAGTAGTAAATTAATTTGAAGTGGATGAGAAAAGGAACTTTTTTCTTTCCTATTTTTTTAAATATCTAGCTGGCTTTAGAAAATCACTTGATTAATAAACAAATCCCAGTGTACACAGTTCTCCTTGGCATAAGTTAATAAACAGCACCTAAGTTAAAAGACAATTATCATAGCGAGAGCATCAAACCACTTCTCAATTTTTGAGCACTGTTCAAGCCACCTTTAAAAATGGAAAGGGGATGACATAAACCTTCCCAGGCAACTCTAATGAAGGCAGAGGGAACTTTAATGGAAAAAAACAACCACAATGCCCATTTTAATTCTGGAGAAAAGTCATGTTTTGCTGTTTGTTCAAGCTGTATTGAAGACACATGAAGGACGTTTTGCAGTCAACTGAGAAAAGAACTAAACTTTTTTTTTCCTTCATGCAACATAATATGTGTAGCAGAAAAGTAACACTGCCCATCACCATAAACACACAATTCGAAGATGTTTGAAACGTCATGCTGGGGTGGATTCTGGGGGAAATGGTTTATATCTGCCCTTATTCAAGTGTCAGAATGGCTAAGACAATGTCAACAGCTAATTTCAATTACAAATCTGATGCAAGAGTTGAAAATTTCTGTTTACAGATACACTGAGTCTAATCAATTTAGCAAACAACTAAATAGTTTAAACTTATTAAATCTACCAGCTAGTAAATTTGCAGTAAAAGGTGGTTCTGAAAGGCTTTTATTCAAAAGTCCTGAACACAAATCAGACCATAAATCTTGTGTTTCCTTTGAAAATGGAAACACAAGAAACATGTTTCTACTGTGTCACGCTTAGACACTACTCTGTTAGTTTTTATGAAACAGATCAGCAAAGTTTATTACCGTAACTGGGTAAAATGTGAAAAAAAACTGAAAGACCATGAATATGTTTGCAAGGGATTGTAACAGACAACATAACAATAAGCCTTCCAGCTACAAAGCTTTTCTCCTTAGGGTATGAAGGTAAACATTTCTGGTTGCAATTACCTAAACTCAACATTCACTATTTACCATGACATTTCAGGGGACTGTTTTACAAGACTGCTTTTGCAATTTGTTTTTACCACACGTCAAAATACACCTAAAGGGGTATTACTCACGTGCTGCATGTTTTTATTTAATGTGGTGTGAATCAAAGATGCTGTCACAAGGCTATAGCCCTGGCGTATCAAATAAATATGCATTGACGTGATTTACAAGACCTTGTTCTTGTAGCTTTTATTGAAAGTGCTCCTGTTATGAATCAGTGACTACAAGGGGTAAGGATGAATAACAGCATCTTTTTCTTTCTTTCTTTTTTTTTTTTTTTGAAGGGTCTTAGCTCAATGACAAGTATAACAGTGGACTTTGGTGATGGAACTGCCATATCTTACGTTAACATCAGCTCCATCGATGATGGGGTCAAGCACATCTACAATAAAGTTGGAATCTATCAAGTTTCAGCCACAGCAAGTAACCATCTCGGCTTTGACAGGGTCTTCCTCTACCTCCACGTGTCTTGTAAGTCATTTTCTGCACATTGTACTGGGCCATACCTTCCCTTTATTATAGTTCTTTCAAGGATATAAGTATAGTCTTCTTTCATTACTTTAATCCAACCTCCTGTGTAGCAGAAAAATGTACTGCTGTGTCCATTTCCTTACTTCTACAGAGCCCCACGGATCAATTTCAAACAAACTTACTGTTGTGGTTTTTAGTATTGACAATTTTATGGCTGGAAAAGCAAAAAATTCCCCATGTGCACAAATGAAACGACTTCTGGGGTGCAAGCAGCTTTAACGCTGTCCACCAGTGGGTTTAGTGTGTTCCACTTGGTCTCTGCTGTGCCAGATATTACAAACATTTCATTTGTTGAAGCTTAGACGCACCGGGGAGGCATTAAATTTAGCCCTGTTTTAATAAAAAGTGTAACTTCACACTCTGTGTGTTTTCTCTCTAAAGGTCACCTCGAGCAGGTGCAACTTTCAGCTCCTTTGGTGGTCATTAAGGACAAAGCAGTGAATTTCACAACAACACTTCGCCCAAGTAGTGTGGGAACTGTCACATATTTCTGGTGGTTTGACAATAAGACAGAGGTAAGCCATATCCAGGCAATTTTGCCTTAAAAGCATGACAGAGAATTACATATTATGTCCCGTTGTCTTGCAGCCAGTTGTGACCCTTGATGGAGCAATCACCTTCACTTTCTCCAAAGAGGGAAGTCACATCGTTACTGTTCAGGCTTTGGCTGGTAATATTGTCCACCAGGACCAAATCAGAGTGGCAGTTTATGGTAATAAAATTTATTATTTCTGTTTGTTTAAGCTAGAAAGATTTTTTAAGAGTACACATTATCCTTAAAATCCCTCTTGAAAAGAGACATGGTGTTTTAAGTTTAAAGCTCCATATTTTGCTAACCATATCATGGATTTGAATCTGTACCAGGTTAAGTTTTCAACCAAAGTTGTTGTTTTTTTTTCAATCTGCCTCCTTGCAACATATCATCTACGTGTGAAAATTTCAAAGATGCTTTCACGGTTTAAAATAATTCCAAATATTTCACTAATTTGTCTGCAGTAAGGGAATGTAATTGGATGACTCTAGTAAATAATATCTACAACCAGGAGGTCACTTAGGAGTTGTTTTGGTTTGGTCTGAGGCCAAAATCTGTCATGTTTTACAAGAGTCAACGGGTTCAGTCAGGAATCACACAATCAATAGAAATAGTATTACTGAGTTTTCAGAGAATAATATGCTGTCATGTTCAATAAATCAGAATATTTTTGAAAAGTGAAAATAAAAACTAGCATCAATTAATTATACACATGCTAATATTATGTGATGTTAATTGTGAATTTCTGCTGACAGCTAATGTTTAACAAAGATTTGGAAAAAAAATTGGGGTAAAGAAAACGTTTAAGACTTTTTAAAGGTGTGAAGTGCACAATTCAGAGACTGAGATCCAGACAAAAGTCAGGGAGCAAAAACAATCTTTAATACATTTGCAGACGGATAGCAAGAAATACACTGCATTAGGCACAAATTAGGATCCGCTCTGAGGAACCCAGAGTTGCATAGTTACTTTATTCATCTCTCTTTACTACCGAGGCGGAGACTCAATCTTCGAAGACCAAACAAAAGAAACAAAGGAAAACATACGAAACCTTGTATGCTCATTCACTGTAATGTCTATGGGAGGTGAAAACTAAACACTCTATCTCCATGCAGGGAAGGCCACGGGAAAAACAGCAAGTTCCCAAATAACTGTCTGGGGAAGTTCAACAACCCTGGAAACTTACTTCAGTAGACACATCTTGTTTCATTAGTTTGTACACTGTTTCCAGCTGCACAGAAAAACACCTTGACTGTGATTCAAAAAACATTACATTTATATGATACATAAAGGAACACTATTTAATACGAATAAAACTTCTTCACAAAGGTTTTTGAAAAAATGTATACTTCTAATCTGACAAATAAGCATTATTGGAGTGCAAAGTCTCAATTATTTAATATGTTTGTGCAGATGAATTAAATCATGCATAAGGTTTGGCCAATTTTATCAATGTGTATCTTCATAATTAATGAAAACACAGTGAAAATTAATTCAAAGGCTATGTACATGTGACGAAGACTCCTTTTAGTTTTCTGACAGGTAATTCAGAGGTACTTTAACAACAGGAAAACTCATGGAACTGCTCAGCCCAGAGAACCAAAAAGACAGTTATTCAATAAGTCAATATGTAGTTAACAAACAGAAACATATAGTTTTACATTAGTTTTAACACATATTAAGAATTGGATTATACTGATCAGACATAAACTTTTTTTTAGAAACAACCTCTAACTGAAGCCTGGAGTAATGATTAAAATTACGAATGAAATGATTCAACGTATGACGAGAAGTTCACAGCCTTGTTGCCTGTGTGTTACTGTCGCCCCCTAGCGGTGAATTCAAATTCTGATGTTTTGTAAATAATATTTTGTGAAAGTTTAGTTAGGATAAAAGTACAAAATCTCTCTCTCTCTCTCTCTTTCTCTCTACACACACACACACACACACACATATATATATATATATATATATATATATATATATATATATATATATATATATATAATATATATATATATATATATACTTTTTTTAAAGTTAAATCTAACTCTGAATCCAAATTTGAAAATAATATTTTGGGTATTTTATGGTATATTTACTTTCATTCAGAATCATTACAGATTCAAAGAATATATATTCCTCCAGGTTTAATTAGTTTTGAACTATTTCCCAAAATGAAAACTGAAATTCTTTGTTGAAGCTTACTGTACTTTCAGTATAGTAAGTCTCTACAGAGCAACAGTTAATTTTCCTTCCAGTCAATAGTGTGACTTCAGCATCCTTAATCATTGTAACCCCTCGTTGTATTCTCTACCCGTATTTAATAAACTAGAGTTTACATATTGATATTGTTGCATGCAGAAGGCTCAACAGCAGATTTTCAAACAAAATAGTGGCAGGTCACTGACTCCAAATAATCTTTAGGATGGAAAAATATCCCTTTCTTCTTTTCACTGCTGAATCAGAGTTAAAGCTTTTTTTCTTATATTTTAGATTATTTCAGGTCACATCCTTTGGTTTTTTCCTCTAATCTGGATGAGATGAACCCAGGGGTATCGGAGTGGCGAGAAGACATTGGCAGAGTTGTGAAGACCTGCATAGTTCAGGTAGGTCACAAAGACAATACTGTATTGCTCTTTGATGTTTCTGCCTCAAGAGAGAGTCCATCTTATTCTTACATTGAAAAAATGTTAGTATTTGTCTAGTAACATGCCAAAAATACTTTAAATTTCAAATCCCAGTAGTAGTAGTGCAATTGTTATGTTTACAACTGTAAAAGTTTTTAATTATCAGTTTACTGCAAAGAAAACTCGTCCGGTGCAGCAGAAATAAAAACCCCAAGTAAAATTAACCTAAGTGCCGTTAAATTGTGACTGGTTTTCTCTTTAAGACATAGCATAGCAGGTTATGTAAAAGACCTGGATACTCTGTTCTATATATATCCAGCAGTAGCCCTCAGTATGAAACATTCACTTTGACCTTCTGTCCTGTCAGATTTTACCACGCTCTACACCAGGAAACTGACAGTAGACCTCTGGTTATGGCATAAATGCACTAAAAGCCCCGGCCTTTACCAAAAACTGTCAGAATGAGCTTCCATGTTCCACTTGATCCAGGGATTAGACCTTGACAGTATTAAGGCAAATGATACATAAAGGAGAACGCAGAAAGCCTTTTCTCTGTAATGCAGAGAATGCTCATAACTCCGGTAATATCTTTGTGTCCGAAGCACAGACTTCCACTTCATTTGGAAGTTAGAGCTCACTGGCAATGTTTTGTTGATATTTTTAAAGGTCACAGGGATTAATGAGGACCAACTCCTGGTCAAGCTGTTCCCAGGTTTACCAACTACAGCTGAGGTCTTCATTGTACCAGAAAGGAGGTCAAGAGACAGAGGCATGAATGAAAAGTGGGCACATCTGGATCAGGTACTGTCTCAACAAATTATTCAGAAGCTTAGGGTAAATATTAATATGATCCTCATGGCTCTCAAAAACAGACATATAGCTTTCCATTACCTTGCTGAATATCTCAAGTAGGCTTGAGCTCAATGTTACGAACTGATGGTGGGATATTATTAGTAACAACAAGTCCTTCAGTTCTTTTAACAAGAACTCAACCTCAGATCATCACATTATCTGTGATCACATTTAACAGTTGATATGAAGTTATTATTCTTAAAAAAAAACTGCTGGTTACGATTATGCATTTTTATAGCTGTTTTACATTAGCTGTAAAACAGCTAATGTTTTACATTACCTGTAACAGGAAACCTTCCAAAAAGTTCCTTTTTGTTTCAATGGAGTATATAATATTTTCCAAAAATGATGGGAATCATTCTGAAGTCTTTTGGGAATTTTTTTGCCTCAGAAATCTCTCATGCATGCCAGATTTGTCCATCTCCTTTTGTATTGTTGCGTCATGATAACATACCTTACGAGAGGCAATTGAATTGAATTGTAGGCCTGCAGTTCAGGTGTTGTTCTGGGTTATTTTGTGACCTTCTGGGTGAGTTTGAGTAATTTTGGTAGAATGGCCTCTCCTGGGAAAGTTCACCACTCAATTTGTGGCGAATGGCTCTCATTGTAGTTTGATGGAATTCCAATGCCTTAGAAATGTCCGTAATCTTTTCCGGACTAATTTAGATCTGTTCCGTCTCTGCTCTTGAATTTCATTACAATATGATGTATTATTTCTAAGATCTTTTCATTTGCTTTATGTTGCCTTTCAAGTTCTATTTAAGTACTTTTTTGGCTTCAATATGATTTCATAAGGCCGGCTGCTTACTTTTTTGTACGTCAGGCTGGGTTCTTTTGAATAGCTTTTTTTCTCTTCAAATGAAAATAGCATTTGGAAACTGATTTTTGTATTCACCTGGGTTATATTTATTTTGATGAATTCCAGTTGTCCCTTAAATATTTAGATACCCACATATGGATACATAACATATTATAATGCATGTGCCACAAACATTTTAGTATCAGATGATACATTGTGATATAAAATATATTTTTCAACTTTTTAATTATTATTATTGTGAATGTGTTAGAAATTAGAAGGCTCTGTACTGCAAAATTAATTTCAGGAAGTCATCAAAAATACATTAGTTTGTTTTTACATTTGCAGTACATTTTGTTGTCACTCAATTGTCACTAAAACATTCACCTACCAAGAACTGTCAACATCCTCCACCTCCACACTTATCTTCTGACACTGGGACATTCTTCTGGTTCTGTGAAACAGGACTTCTGGATCGGATTTGTTCTGCAGTACATAGATGACATTTGATCAGATGTGAGTTGAAAAGCAGGCCAGCACCCTTGGCGCATTGTTATATTCTTTGTGACATTCTTGGAGCAGGCTTTTCAGTGTGGTGCCATGCTCTGTCCTGCGGTGGAAGAAGATTTTGTCAGGGATTCCTGCCACAATAACTTTTTCCTTTTACCACAGTGGGTTATATGTGTCATAATAATATTAGCACAAATTCAACCACACATGTTTGCCAGAAGATTGCTCTGCAATGACATGATGTTCATTTCATTTACATTTAGGTAGTTTTATTGCTGTGGCTAATGGCAGGTATGTAAGTAGCACTTCTCTCTGATCTGGTGTCAGGAGCAAAAACTTGCTTTCACAGATATATAACTGTGAAACTCCGGTTCTAAACATATACAAGAAATAATAATAATAGTAATAATAATATTGATAATATTTAATCATCTAGGAAGAAGAATATGAAGAATACAAAGAATAGTAATAAGAATCCTAATGTAACCCTAAATTGAATGTAGTTCAGCCTGCCTTTCACAAAATGTATGTATTGTTGAAGCTGCTATACAGCCATGATGAATGCACACATTTTCTCCGTCACATAATCACAATTTTTAGTGAATCTTGAGCTGTAACATCTGGTACCTTTAGCCAGACATACGTAAGGTTAACTTTGACAAGTACAAATGCAGGCGTGATACTCATTGTGATTGATCACCTGAAGCAACCAAGCAGCTTAAGGTCCCGGCAATTGTGTTTTCTATATCAGAGTGAAATAAATAGATGCCAAGGTATATCATGCCTCAGAAAAAGAACAGCTGTAATGAGGACTGGACATTTTTTTGCAGTAATTGGGCTAAAACATGCAAACAGTCTCTGGTGTGGTCCATTAAGTGTTCACACAGAGAGAAAGAAGAATGTGTTTTCGACAGGCTCATTGTTCTCTGCAAGCAGGAACATCCATCTGATCTCAGAAAGCCACTGAGCCTGGTTCTTATATTCCTAATGTTTCTGGGTTTATAATCAGTCATGCTGCACAAAATCAATTAATTCGGGTTTATTTTTTCTGACAGCTGTCGTACAAAATATATTTTGCTTGTGCATATTTTGCTCTAAAGCGAGAAATAATTCACCGTTTAATCAATCTTACATGTATGCCATTCCTGCCTAAAAGCAAATACTTTAAGTTAACACTAGAGGGCAATGCCATTCTTTATATGAACACCTGCCTGTCAATTGACGCCCACAAAGCAGAATGTGTCATTCGACCCGCTCATGTGTTTTTCAGCTTTAAATTCGCAGGAGCCCTTAAATGATATTATGAGAAAACATTATTCAGAGCTATCGCACTTTTTGTATTTGTTAAAATGTTCAAATGGCAAAAGAAGACAATTTGAAATTGATTATTGCTTTAATGGTTCATTTAAAAGTATCAAACATGAAACAAAAATAATAAAGCGGTATTTTTTTAAGTGCGGTGCAGGAAGCTCATTTATTCATTGGGAGTAAACATGATTTTGCTGGCTCACAGTCAGTCTTGAACTAAGTTAATAGGTATTTAATTACATTGATGCATCATATAATTGGCACCATCGAGAAGGGAGACAAACTGGGGCAGGCTGCTGGGATTGGGAATTAAAGAGATGTATTTATCTAAAGCCTGTCTGATTACCTGGCAGAACCTCACAGACAATAGGGTAATAAATCTTCAGTTCACTGTTCTCTCATCTCCAGTGAATGACTTTCAGTGTGGAGACATTAAGTGAGCAGTGCCCACACACGCACACATGTGCGTGGCAAAGTGTATGCGTGGCCCGGGCTTATTAAAATGTGTAATAGATTTACTGACCCTGATATGCCACTAGAACAAAAAGTAATTATTCATGCTGTGTAGAGCAGTCTAATTTTAACCAGTGGAAAGATTTGAGAAAGAGTGAGATGGAATTAGTGAGGCATGGCTAAGGACTCAAATATGCATTGGGAAGGCATTTTGCTCCCCTGCTAAATGACTGTTTCATCAAGGTGTGAAAAGCTGAGGAACTTTTGACACTTAAGGGAGAAGAAATTAAAACAGCTATTTTATGATATCAGTACATAGTTTGATTTCCTATAACACCGCCTCGTTGAACTTTTAAATGGGTAATTCTTATCCTCTTTAGAATACTTACGCTGATGAAGGTATAGAGGAAATATTCCCAGTGTGGGAGACGTAGCAGAAAGATTAATATTTCTTTAAATGTCACAGCTGCGCTCCAAGCAGGACGCCCTTTTGCCTGAAAGTCCTTAAAGCCTGTTGGGTTTCAGTGTGGTAGGTCCGGTTTTACATGTGTCATTTAAAGATTTGCCCCTCTTTAGAAGGAAACAGAAATTCCTATCCATAATTCATGCTCTTGGTGGAAATGACTGCGGGTGAAATATTGATGAATGTGGATTATTGGTGGACGGCTGCAGCTAACGCAGTCCTCTCTGCTCCTATTTCACTCCTCCTTGTAGCTTTCTCAGGTTCTGCTGAGTGCTCTAAACCAGGATCTCATCGAGTTTACAATCAAACCTGGACTGCAGGTGAATGTGTATGCCACACGGCTGTCTCCAGGTAAGTGTGTCCCTGTATTCCCCGCCTAACCCACCTGCTCCCCTTTTTCGTCATTTCTTTTTTTCTCCAAAGAGCCAAGAGATTAGAAAGTTCTGAGCCAATAGTTATTGTAGCTTACTAAAGGTCTTTTAAAGTGTGTGTTTGGACTGCTGTTTCACTCATTTCAAGTCCAGTCCATTCACCTGACCATGACAGCATATTGGGCGGACCGCATTTGATTAAATGAAATGGACAAGTGGCAGTCAAAAGAGCTGTCAAGCTATTTTCTGTAGGTGAATTGAATTTGAAAGGCATGTCTTTGAGAAACGGGAAAGAAATCCAGTTAAGATAATGGTTTCGGTAGATTTGCTACTGTATACCAAAGCTTTTGCTAGTTCTTTTAAAAATAGCTCTGGTAATCACATTGATGGTCGTGAAACAATTCTCAATGTATTTAACGTTTTGTATTTTTATGGATTCAGTTAAATAATTGAAAAAGTGTATCTTTACTGAAAAAGGATCCACTTCAAAGTGGATGTTTTTTTCTAAATGAGCAACAAACTACGACCAAACTAGACGAGCTATGATGCTCTTTCTCTATTTCTGGAGCAACTAGCTAGCTCGCTAAAGGACTGGCAGCTTTCACTCTTTGAGAGTGAGACTGAAGGGTTTTTTTTTTCTATTTTTCACTCTCTCCTTCTCCGATAAATCTCAATCCAATGAAGTGTGTTTGCAACCAAAAAAAATTACATGTGCGGTTCTCTCTGATGTCAGAAGCAATCTTTGCTTGGTGCCTTATGTACTACTGCCTCAGTACCACACTGTGATTTTGTTGACCCGCTTCTGCTCTGGATGATACAGCTGCATAATTGAGTTTGATCTTATGATTTGAATAAAAACACCATCTTTCTCTTTTTAAATGTTTATTTTCTCTACATCAGTCTCTGATGTTTAAAGTGTTGCATAGATCTTAGTTTCATTAGATCCAAACACATCAATTTGATTTTGTGTTATATAGATGAATATCTTGTTGCTTTCTCAAAACATCTCCAGGATTTCTGTTTTTTCTTTGCTTCAATCAGCAGGTCACTTTGGTAGCATTTGAATATTCCAGTTACAATGTATCTTAGAACTGTCATTGGTTAACAGTGTTCAGATGACTATAGTGTTGGATGGGTTTCCAGCCAACTGAACATGTTGGGCTGTAAAAAATATGCTTTGGTCAAGTTGTTAAAATTGTAGCTCCTTTTTCACTGTATTTGGTTATTAGAAAGTATTAATAGTAAATTCTAACAAAATAATTGTAAATTTGTGTCTGAAAAGTTTGAAAAACAACTTGGACAATGCCTTGTTCTTCGCCTCATTTGATTAGTTAATCTATTTTGAAATGTCTAGAATATGTGACATTATCATTAATAATCATGTGTTTATCAACTGTACAGTATTTGACTATTTTTAACATGAATTTCAACAAAGATTGAGATTTGGGATGTTTTTCGAGTTTTTTTTGGATGGCAGGGTTTTATGTTGAGTTTGTGCTGAAAACTGTCTACCAGTTCTGGAAACCCTACCCTTATATCCAAGAAGCTTAAAGCATTAGCAAGAAAATAAAGATATTCTCTTTAAAAATAGCAAAAGTCACCTATGTAATGTACAATGAACCACAAATGATCAACTATGCATTTTGTTCAGCCGTTGAAGTTTCTTCATCTCACTTTTTCAAAGACAAATCCCACCTGAACTCCCATTTGAATTAATAAGCCGAGAGATGGATCAAAGTGCACTGGTGTCTCAACTTAACAATGGCAAACCGAACAAGCTTTTGTGTGAAACAAAGCTGAACAAAGTAGTTAATAGTAACTGTAAGACTTTACATTGGTCAGCTGTAATGATGTTGTTGAGTTTTGTTCAGCTGAAGCAAACTGGCTGACAGTCAAGTAGTTTAAAAGATAGATTGGTAAGTGAACTGAATTTATATAGTGCTTTTCCAATCAAACACTCAAAGTGTTTTACACTAGTGACCCATTGACCTGTCCGCACCATCATATGTACACATCCGGAGAAGGACAGGTGCCTTGCCCAGGGCCACATCAACATCTAACAAGAATGTAGATGTTTTAATGGATGATAAAAGGGTTTAACAATGTGCCATTTTAGGACCTGAGAATTGGCTTCAGAGTTCTTATCAATGTCCTATAATTAAAGTTCATATCACTAATCTTCTCACTCATTCTCTTTTAAAGCTCCTCTTGTGGACGGCAGTGACAGTGGGCACAGTGGCACTGCAGTCATCATGCTGGTGTCAGTGGTGCTGATGGGATTGGCTATCTTTGTGATATATAAATTTAAAAGGTACTGTATAAAAGGTGCAGCGCATTCACTATGGATTTCTTTGGAAGAGAGATGAATGCAAAATTCATTCAACAAGGTTTCAAAAAAATAGAAAAAAAGCTGGTATACAATCGAATATTTAGCCTCTTTAATGTTTGCGCAGCATTGTCCAGATGTCCATTGACTGTAAAAGTGCTCCTCCACCCCTGAACTCTCTGAAACTTTCCACATGTATTCAGACTCCATATACCTCCAAGTTATGGACATCCATGGCACAATAATAGCTAGAGAAATAAGACAATTCCCTTCTGTCTCAATCTGCCGAATATTACAGGGAATGACAGTCTAATCAATTCTCCCAGAGTGCTGAATGGGTGTCAGAGTCCTGCAGTTATCAATATTCATCTATCTGACAATGTGAGGGTTGACCTTTCGGAAATGCTAAACACAGCCATTCAAGGTGAGGCATACTCTGCAGAATGGCAGGAAAGGTTGAGGAGTTAAGACCTGAGACAACGTATATTATACAGTGTGGGACATACAGTAAATAGTATCCTCTACTGCAAGAAATCCCATGTCATTCATGGGGGATTGGTCTGCTTCCTCTAAGATATTGCTTATTAAAAAGTGAAACATTATTTGACTTCAACTTTCTGGATTGTAATTGCTACATTATAAAATCAACTTTGAATTTCTTGAGCTCCCCCCGAATGTCACAGCGCCAGCTGCAGCACAAGCTCATGAGGGAGAAATCTGAAATTAGAAATGCAAGAAGTTAGTTTTAGGCAGAACTGGGGATGCATCAGAGGGGATGAAAAATTGATTGAAAACTGAGGTGAACAATATAAAAGAGAGAGAGCGTAGCCCAGTGGAATGCAAAACGCCCTAGTTTCCAGCTATCAAACAATCCTCCACCATCTTTAACTGTTAAAAATAGTGTGTGACACATTATGCCCAGTGAAAGCATTAGTGGAAGTAAAAGTGATGGCAGATTTCCATTAATGCAGCTCTGCTTTACTCTAAACTTCTCCCACTCTGCACGACCTGCAGAAAGATCCCAGGCATGAACACATACGCCACAGAGAAGCCTGACAAAGAACAAGAGGTCATCCCTGCGGTGACCTCCATAGCTGTCCCAAACCCTGAGGGGGATGAGCTGACCTCACTGGACCATGTGGATATACAACTGGACTCAAAAAGCAGAGGTATCAATGCTTCTATGTCCTATTTTTGGATTTTTGTTTTTTCACTCACGTTGTAGTGGCGCATCCTTCACCAATTCCACTGAGACTGTAATGTGGGTGTATTCAGAATTAAAATTGCATGAATATCTGCTTGTAATGACAAGGGTAAATGGATATTCCTTTGAGGAAATTTTCTTTTTATCACCAGGCATTAACTTTTTTTTTCTCTGTACTTTTCACATGCATATTTTTTCATGCCAATCTAAATTGATGGCTTGACATATTTAGTGGTGTGATTATTTTTATTGTGCAAACTGATTCATATATTAATGTTAAATATTTAGATATTTAATTTTTTGTTCAAATCTTACATTTTCTGGCTAATTGGACGATGGTACCTTTGCGTTACTAATTATTATACAGCCATTTATAGAACCCAGCTTTAATTTGAATCGAGTTAATTGCATGCTATGTAATTAATTAATCGAATGATACATTTAATTCATAATCGTTTAAAAAAAGGCCTTAAAACTCTTAGCAGTTCCAGAGATCTTAATTTACAGAATTATTGATGTTTTTATAGCCTTACCTGTCTGACACTTGTCCACACTGAGGTTATGTTAAGCCTTTTTGACAATAAAGAACCACTGCACAAAGAGTTAATCGTATAGCAATTTGCACAATGCATCAATCTGATAATTACCAACAGTAGATGAGATGTAAAACTCATATATCACGTAGACTGATTACGTTCATAGGTGTATGTTTCAAGCATTTAACAACCCAATTATAAAAAAACTTCCTAATACTGAAATATTAGTTTATCTGAAACTCTTGAAGGACATTCAGCCAGAAAACTGTCACATTCATTGTGCCTTAGCACAATTTGAAACAACACAAGTGTTGTACCTGAGTGAAGGAGAAAGTGTACTGGGCTGCTAAAGTTCTCTTTCATATAAAGTAGAGCGGAAAGAGGAAATTAAATTTTACATTTCATTTGGAAACCAATCTCCCGGACTCTGGGCCTAGATTGGAAAGGCACAGGATCCAAGTTCCTCGAGGTCCATTATTATATTCCCACAGTCAATGATGATTTAAGGAGCAATGCCATCTGCTGGTGCAGGTCTGCTGTGTTCTATAAAGGCCAAAGCTGTTCTCCCTCCTGCTGCCAAACTTTGTGGAGATACCGCTTTCATTTTCCAGCAAGACTTGGCACATGACCACACTGAAAAAGTACCAATACCTGGTTAATGACCATGCAGTGCTTGATTGGCCAGCAAACTCTTCTGACCTAAATCTAGTTTAAAAAAAAAAATCTATGGAGTATTGTTGATAAACACCAGAGCCAACCACATAGACAACCTGAAGGCCACAATTAAAGCAACCTGGACTTCCTGAACACCGCTAGAGCCAGAGGGACATTATTTACGCAACACCCAGAAATATTATCGTGACTTCTGCTAAAGGAGCCCTGATTAAATCTTGTATAAATATCCTGTAATGTACATGGACACTCGGCAGCCCAACATTTCAGCTTATGAATCATTTTCTCTATGACTGATCTTATGCCTCACTCAAATTTTCCAACCAACAGAATTTGGGGTTTTATTAGTTATAAGTGATAATTGACGTAGTAAAAAGTAAAAGTTGCTCTTAGTGTAAAAACATATTTATAATAAATGAGCTTCATTAAAGTAATTTTGAGCAAAATTACTCTAATGAATAACATCTTCATTATATGTATTTAAAAAAGTGATTCACTTGTATGCAATAGAAATTAGGTTGCTTGGAATGAACTCTTTAGTCAAACTGCACTAAATACAGTTTTTCTTTTATTTTTTTTTTATCTTTGAGCATCTCTGAATGAAGTCAAGCTTTATTGGCTGATTCTTAAAACCTACACAACATTGCAGTGTCTTATTTTTTATAACCCTTTATAACAGTAGAGGAATGTGGCCACAAGCTGAAGCTCGCTGTCGGCAATGAGGGATTCACTTAATTTAAGTGCTGATGCTTTGCTTTACGTCCCTCCCCTTCACCCACTGGGTTGTCATACGAGTTGGCAAGATGCAGCTTTTATTATGTGCTGTATATTTATGCTTTTGCCATCCTTAGTTTGTCACACAGAGGTATTAGTATACACAGGTAAGTGAAGCACAATCAAGCGCCAGCCTAAAGTGATGAGCACGTCCAGGTGAATTATTTGATTCAATAAAATAATTAGTGCATCAGGAATGCAGCGCAGTGGTGAAAGCATTTTCATCAAGCGGTATCTATGAGGTTCCAGCTGATTTACCCCTTCCCTTCCCACACCTACAGTAAACAATCTGCCTATCCAAGATGAATGTGTTTGCCGGCAAAAACACACTCTTATGCAAATACCGACATAAAATCTCTCTGCTGTCTCTTCCCTTTCTTCTGCCTTGCCAGGCTACCTGCCATCTCACACAGACATCAAGCTCTCTGATGAAGCGCCCCATGTGTTTTAATGTTGGAAGTCTATGACCGACTCGAAAGCAATACATCTTCTTTGGCAGTTACTTCCAGCAAGCTAGGAAGCTGCGGTCACAATGAATGGTCTCGAGTCTTTTGCTACCCATGCATGGATGGACCAGTTCACACTGTGCTGCCTAAATCCCTCCAAGGAGACTGTACAGATTTATACTTGCCTCTTGAAAAGGAACAGTTTTTGACTGAAATACTTGTATTTTTGCAAGGACATTGATCTTTTTATGTAAATACTGTACATCCATAATGGAAGAAGCGAAAGTTATTTGTCTCAGCTGGTTATAGCTGCAACTGCTCAAATATGAAAACATCAAACAGTGGTATGACAGCAGAGTGTAATATATATATATATATAGAATTTTCTATACATATATAGAAAATCTTTCATTTTTTTCTGATTACCGGACATGAGTTTGTGAAGTTTACTTTATTTTTTTTTTTTGCACGGACTTATCAGAGTAAGACAGTGAGGGAACCAGATTCATTAAGCTCTCTGTAATCAGTAAATCTTATCACCAGATTCTCATCCAATGAAAACTCGCAATATCCAGGAGATGATGGAGGGCTCCCAGCCCCGGATCTGTGTATTCCATCAAGCCTGTCTCTCCGCAGCTCACAATGTTATATATGTCATAGCGGAGAGAAAAACAAAAAAACAAAAACACAACAGAAGATTGTAGCAGATAGGTACGCACAGAAGATGACATTCTCTGAAATCCCTGTTGTTTAGGAGACACAAATAAGTCATTTTAGAAACAATGAAACATCATGGATCTGAAACAAACTGAACTAAAATATTCAAATGATTTTACCCCCAAAAGAAATGCTTCATTCAATTCTCACAGTCACACCTAGTGTAAATTTCCTCTTCGTTGGTTTGTGTATTTCTTGTACTTTCTGGTTTGTACTGAGAGCAATATGTAAATGTATTGACTCGTTCCAAGTGTGGAATAATTACATGAACTAAGAAGAAGTTGTTTGTGTATAATTAGTAATAAGATCAAGGTTTATTTGCTTTAAAAAATTCCTTGGCACACTTACAAAATCTTTTCTTTGAACTGAGATTACTGTGAAGGTTGGTGGTGTCTTTTCAACATTTGCCCTACATTTTTTTTCTCTTCTTTTCTTGTTTAGTTTTGTTTTGCTTAAAGCCCTTTTTATTTATTCTGGACTGATTCTCCGCCATCTCCCAAGATTCCAGAAATGCAAAGGGGCCCGCAATGTGTTCTAGGTTTGCCCCCAAGGTCTCGGCGGACAAAAGGCTGCAGATTTGTTCATCTCCTGCGCTGCGAGGGACACTGAGATAGAGAAGACATATCTCCTGTCAACGCAGCTCAGCCCACGCACACGGCTTCGGTCAGCCGCTGTCTCTTTGGGATATGTACCGAGGTCCTTCTTCATCAAACTTTCTTTTTAAGTGTTGTCAGCATCATATGTCAGTAAGACAAATTGACTGGAGGCTTCTCCATACTTCTTCCTAGCAATCCCCTGATTGAGCCAGAAGCATAAATAAACTCAAGCTCAGAAGAACTCTTCGTGCAGCTGTTCAAAGATCTTTCTTTTTTTTTTTTAAAGTTATTATGTGAAATTAATCATCTTTCAGTCCTGGTTATTAAGCTGTGAATACAACCGTGAACAGATTTGCATGATGTTTTTGTTTCCTTTTGATCTGCTTAAAATATGTCTAACCTTGGAAAAAATGTATTTCAGTAATTTGTTGTTTTGTTTTTTTCTCTTTTCCAGAGGCTAGACAACTCATACATTACAAGTGAAGTGATTATTCAGTGGGTTGTTAGTGTTTTTTTGTTTGATCTTGCAGAGGTAACCATGGTTGCAGAATAAAGAAGAGACACAACAGCACTGCAGTGTGGCTGGTTGCTGAATTAAACAGAAACACTGTTTATGTTAGTGTGTAAAGTTATAAATGTTCACTGCTGTTAGTCACTGTTTATATGTCAGGGTCCATGGTGTATATATTGTTTTATTTTCTCATGTTACAACAACAAATTGCAATGTATATAATGGGATTTTTTGAAATAGGCCAACACAAAGTAGTTCATAATTCTGAAGAGGAAGAAAAACAAAATTTCTTACAAATAGAAAAAAAGCATGGCATGCATTATATTTAGCCTCATTTCCTCTGATACCCCTAAAGCAAATCCAGAACACCTATTTGTTTTTGGAAGTCACCAAATACAGATAGTAGATTCCATCTCTGTGTAAATTACAAAGCTATTCTATAAAGACGTTTAAGGGATGGTTCAGTTAGAAAACAATATCCTGACTTCTGAACACCTCATGGAGGACTGACCAATGATCCAAAAACTGATGAAGCATGACACAACTGCAATCTGACCCAAAACATTACTGTCCACATAAACTGAAAAACAGGTGACGAGAGGATTAAGCAGCCAGTCGGGCTTTTACATCCCGCTGCACTATGCTGCTTTTGGGGGATTTTTCTCTGGTTCTCTTCAGTCACTCAACTGAAGAGAACTGGTTGAGCGACTGAATGCTTTTTCCTCAGCAGATGGAATCCAGTCTGAGTTAATGGGAAGATGAATTAACAAGGGAAATCCCACAAGAAAATCCAGTAGATGTATGGAGAGAGAATATCTGGAGTTTCATCTTCTGGTACGATGGCAAATCTGAACATAACACCAAAGCTACAATAGAATGATTAAAATCAAAGCATATTCATATGTTACAATGGCTGGTTAAAAGCCAGGCTTAAATCAATTGGGAAACTGTGGCACGACTTAAAAAATTATGTTCCCAAATACTCAGTGTAGTTTGATGAGTTTGGACTATAACAACACATATCTACAACAAATGTATGTAGATATGCAGTGCTGGTATTAGACATACACCCATAATTTTGTAGCTCTCATTCTACTGTTATAAATCATAACTAAGGAAAGCTTAATATAAGTGCTATAAATGTTGGTACATTTTTCAGGCTTTTATTTGTTAAAAAATAGAAAACTATGCTCATCGTCTTCCCTCTGCTTCTGAATTCTACACTAGTTTGTGGTGGTCTAAAACATAAAAACCTTATGAAGTGCGTTGATGTTCATGACTGTAAAATGAGAAAAAGTCCAACAGGTGTGAACCTCTTTGCCAAGAGCTCTACTGCCTCTGCGTATGAAACACACGGCTTTGACTCCATGTTTTCCTCTGTTGGATTGGACGTTTAGTGCCTTTTCTTTCAATAAGTGCTTAGCATGCCTGAAGTTTCGCTGCAGCCATTTTCTTGTTACAAAGGGGCAGAGTGGGAGGACAATGAACAGTGCAGAGTATCCTGGAGTGTTTCTAATTGGCTGGTTCTTTCGCTCTCCCACTGTGCAACAAATTAATTATCCCCTCTCCCAGAGATCAACGCGTACCCGGTCAACAAAGAAGATTTTCCTACTCCGGATGGCACCTTGAATGAAAAATGTCCCACAACAATAACCCACAGCAATATTGTGTTAGCCACAGTGTGAAATTGATGAGCATGTTTCCTTTCATTGAGTGCTACATTACAGTGTCTGGCTGCAGCGAATCATCCATTAGTGATTGTCACCGTTCAATTTGATTGTGCACCGCAGAACATCCCAGGGCGGTTAGAGAGAAGCCTTGGTGTTAATTCAGACTGAGAGCACAGGCGAGAATAAGACTCTTGGGGCGTTGATGGCTGTTTGAGTGATGGAGATTGGTGTATGTGTGTGAGAGACGTGGCTGTTGAAGTGGCAAGCAAAATGCAAAGCAGAAGATGGGCCCGTGTGAAGTTTCCGTCCTCCGTACTGGCAGTTTGCGTGACATTTTAATGTGCAGCAGATCTCCTCTGTACCAGAAGAAAGAGGGGACGCAGTAGCAATACTCGTAGCTCTTCTTTACCAAGACATCCATTTCTCATCGTTGTCCAAAGCCTTGTAATTGTTCCCATTAAAACAGCAACCATCTGTACCAGACTAACTGAGCGAAAGAGGTAAAATGGAGCCCGGTCTAAATGTCAGATGGGAATCTTCATGTGGCTGTTATCACACCTCTCCCCATTAAAGCTGACATCAGAGCCTCTGTGAGATCATTAAGAGCAGTATGTTGAGGCTGATGCACTGCCTGTTACAAGACACCAGTGATCCAGATAAGACTGGGGCAAGGTTTGCAAGAACACAGCTTCTTGAACTATTTTTGTCAGGATTATGTCATGACATCACAGACATAGTCTAAGCAATGTATTTGCACACATACGCCTACCGAACACATATTGCGGGAACATGCGAAATAGAAAAATAATAATAATAAAAAAAAACATATAAAAATACATTTATTTTCAACAGTATTGTAATGTTAATATGTTCACAGTAAGAAATGTGACTTAAAACATGGCAATGTCCTTAAAAAGATACAATACTAGATATGTCATGCATAACTTTTGAGCAACTGCACAACTGGACCTTTAGACAACATGTTTAATAATTTGTTTAATGTGTCAAGAAAGTTTTAAAATCACCATAAACATATATACAGTACACACAAACACACCCCAACATAGTCTTTGTTCACAGCTAATTGGGGCATGCTGTTGTCGATAATAAAGTAAACAAAGTGATCATAGAGCTTGTAGAGCTGAAGCAGATGGAAACACAAGACTGTTTAGTGACTTTACGCTACTGTATCACTTTCTTTCCCCCCTCTCTATGTACAAGGCATCAATAATCCCAAATTTAATAAGGACAGACTTCCAAAATCTGAGAAGCAGTCTTTCAAAGCACCATTATTATCTCACAAAGCAAAACCACAACTTGTTTCTGTCCTTTGAGCATTCACAATAATCAGATTTGGACATTTGTACACATCTTCATGATATTTACAACAGAAAAACTTCTGTTACTAGAAAGGTAGAAACACATTTATGCTCCAAAATTTCACCTGGTGTAGTAATTGTAGATTTGAGGCAAGATACAGTTAACACTTTACATCCTGGTTAAGTTGTGTGCAGTAGGGGAACACACTAACCAAAATAGGAAATGGTTTTACCAACTCTTGTAAGTTATATGTATAAAAAGAAAGGTTCTTTCATTTTGAGTCAAATGTCTTAATACTCCTCTACGTAGGTCCAATTGGTCCTTCCAGAACATTATAGACATTTTTTTTTTTCATGTAGAAATCCACATAACATTCTCTGACCACTTTATTAGGTGGATCAGTTTGACGGGTTGTTAGCGGAAACAGTGGCTCAGCCAATTACATCTCGATGTGGTAGAGACAATTTGCGACTTAATAAAGTGGCCAGTGAATGGATCCTAATGTTTTCTAAAACATATTTTTAATATTTTCACATGTAGCAACTGTCGATAACTTTAAAGAAGAATCCTTTACATATAATAAACTCAGACCAATATTGTAAAATCTGGACAATATTTTCAAGCCATTTATAAAACGTTTATAGCAACCACTATGGCAGTTTTAGGACCATCTGGACTGATTTCAGTAGATGGACACCTTCAAAGCAAATAAATGTTACAATTGAGATACAGCAAACTACGCATCCTATCCACAGAAATAAAAAATGACTTTGAACAATTGCAGCTTTCAGCATGACATGAATGAAAAAAATATATATATGTATATTCTAACAAAGCAAACTAAGCACAAAGTACACCACACACAGTACTTACTTATGTATTAGACATTAGTACAATTAGGAAATTCCCTTGTCACAATTCTCTCCATATTTCTCCCAAATCCTCCTGTGAACATAAAACACACATGTGGAAAGTTCAGAACTTGCCTTGATATCACAATTATCTTACAAATTGTCCTCTGGATTTATCTACATGACTTTCAGATACCATTTCATAGCTTATAATGACCTGGTTTTAATACAAAGTAAACATGTTTTTGAAAATGTTACATTAATATTGTATGATTTTCATAATATCTCATGCCGAATAACAATTTAAGTAAGAAAAACATTTTCATAGCACTGTTGTCGTTTGTTTTAAAATTTGTTTTCTCTATAGAATATCATGGGGTCTCCCTTATAGAGGAGGTGAAAAATTCAGTCATCTGAAAGGGGCTCAGAGTAGAGCTGCTGCTCCTCCACACTGAGAGGAGCCAGGTGAGGTGGCATCTGGTTTGGATGGCCCATAGTCGTCTCCTTGGTGAGATGTTTTGGGGACGTCCCACCAGGATGAGACCCCCAAGAAGACCCTGAACAGGCTGGAGGAACTGGTTATCTGGCTGGCCTCGCAGCGCCTCAAGATTTCCTGACCTCAGATGAGTGGAAGATGATGGATGAACAGATGAATGGCTCACTAAAGAAACATGGCCTGTGTCTGGCTTAGAACACAAAAGAAGGCCTTTTTATTGAAAGGATTTAATATGTAGACTAATTAATATGTAGACATTAAAATAGGCAGAGGGGTTGTGCGTCCAAACTTTCTTGAAGGACCCAGTAGTGCAACAACAGTGGGTGATATTTATTAAGTTGAAAAGTGGCATCCCTCTCCTCAGCCACCAACAAACAGTGTTATCTGCTGAAAACACTTTCTGCCCTAAGAGTATGAAACAAGTCTTATGCAGAGTCCTGGCTTAAAGGGGAAGTGCAGCAAAGACTGTGAGATGAAGCATGCCCCACAGTACGTTGCCATAACAGAAGTCTGAAGAGAGGGATCAACAGCTGGGCCATTCAGATGTTTGTGCAGATGTGTGGAGCTTGTCCAGCAAGCAAATGTGTGTTTTAATATGGCTCAGAGATTAAACCATATGTTTACATGTAATGCATGAAAAACTCTGCCTAACATTGCATCAACAAAACCATTTTCTGTTACAAGTTAATTAAAGGGGGCGTATCATGCTTTTTTCCAGGCACATAGTGCCATTTTATAGCACAATCAATTTGACAGTGCATTACAAATCATCACGATGCTTCACATAGCATTGTAAAGCAATGTGTTCCGTTTAATTTAGAAAATATGAGCATTTTGTAGGTTTTCAAATGTCTTTCAAAAGAATAAATTATAAGGGGCATCACACAAATGGCCTCTCTAAAGCATAAATAAAAAGTTACAATTTAAATGTAAAAAATGAATGTCTTACAACACTAACAACTACTGGTGATCTAACAAATTATGAATAGTTTTATGTCCATGAGGGAGAAGACACACAAAATAAATCCTTCACCTTTGCTATTACTCTTTTAAGCAGCAGAACAAAAGCTGTATATCATTTGTTTATGGCCACACAGTCAATGTTATACTATAAGTGAGTTCAAATCTAATGAGACATGTAAATTTCACTGATGATGTCATTTATAGAGTCGGTGCAATAATTTCTCTGATGCTTTTTTATGCTTCATCTTAGTCATTTAAAATCATTTCTGACCAATTTATGTAATTATAAATGTATTAGGCTGTTGTTGATTGCACAAGTTAATTGCTGCTGAAGCAGCAATAAGTCATTTTTGTTGCAGCTTGCAGTTACAGAGCAATGCCATAATTCATTTAGAGTTATGTTCCCACAAGCACGATGAATGTAAGCCTAATGTTTACTCTGCTTTGGTTTCAGTCTCTAGCAGCTTCTGGGTTGGAAATGCTCTTTAGCTACTACATTGTTTAACATTTTTTTACCTATGAGTTTTTAACAAGAGTAACTCAAATATATGAACTGAAGTCAGTTTTGAAGAATATATTTTAGCTATTTTAGAAATTTTATAAAAACAGTTCATTTGAACAGGAACTAATCCTGATTTGAAAATTGTTTACTTCCTTCCTTGTATTCAGAAAAGACATTTCACACTTTAAAAATAAAACAAGTAAATACAGGTTTAGTATGTATGTTGGCTTAAATAATTGTAGATAACTCCTAAACAAGTTCAATGGGTTTGGTTTTGCCTTCTCTCCATTTGGTGTTATTACAGTTGGGTGTGTTCTAAAAAAATTTTTGACAGGACATTGAATTTTGTACCTCTCTTTCCACTCACAACCAAACCAGAAATGATTAATAAATTCTAGGCTCCTTGCAAAAAAACACTAAAATATTCTATTTAATTTAATGCATACTAAGTTCAACATCAATACCTAGCATCAATATTATTGTGCACCTTGATATGCAAATAGGCAAAACAAAAACCTTTTGAGGTGCATCTGATAGATTTTTTTTCATTTATCTTTTTGGTCCTTGCTACCCTGTAGGCCATGCCGCCCTTGGCAGAAAGCCTTTTCACACAAATCAAAATCCACCATAAGGTAGAGAAAATGTATTGGGCTTGTTCTTTTAAGGACTAAGTTTAATACTAAGGTTTATGAGGTGCCGTTGTGGTCGTTTTGCCTCAGCACAAATCAAATACCGTACTTTCCAGACTATAAATTGCTCCGGAATAAAAATCGCACCAGGCGTACAATGCATAATAAAAAGCGGAAAAATACATATATAAGTCGCACCGGAGTATAAGTCACATTTTGGGGGGAAATTTATTTCATAAAATCCAATAAAATAAAAATGGAATAGAGTCAACGACAGGCTGAATAATTGCACGGTATGCTAACGTTACATGACACATAAACAACAAACTGAGAATGTGCCTGGTATGTTAACATAACATATTAAGAGTTATTCAGATAACTGTAGCATCAATAACATGCTAACAAGTTTACCAAACCATCCATCACTCCAAATCACTAAATCTTCATCTTCGGTGTCGCTTGTAAACAACCCTGCTAACTCCGGAGGTAGCTTCTACCACACACATTATCAACACAAGCCCAGAGCGCCCTCTTGCGGTTTAGTGTGAAAATAACTTATGATATGATATAATAATGTGTTAATAATTTCACGTATAAGTCGCACCCCCTAAAAAAAAAAAACTGTGACTTATAGTTCAGAAAATATGATAATTCATGTTCACATAAAAAAATAAAAAATAAAAAGTTAAAATGTGCTGCTTTTGTTCAAACTACACTGACAACAATTAAGACATTTCAATTACAGCTTGTAAAGTAATTTGGACTACAAAGAGCAAACAGGCTCTCTTCACACCAGTGTTTGCTCTGAACAATCCGGTCCTATCCAAGCAGCACTTGAACATTAGAATTGCTTTCGAGACGATTTTTCCTTTGACAACCTTTAGAGGACGCTATGTCACACTAAAATTCTGAAATAGTTTAGCAATTTGAAGACAATCATTAAAGAACCACCCACTGATGTGACGTGACTACCCTCAAGCAACAGAGTATTTGGTCATCTCCCACTTAGAAAATATATAACATATAAATTATATAAGTTGTGCTCTTTAAAACCACTCTGCGGTTGGTCATTTAAAATGATGAAATTGCCTACTGAGGTTGCTTACTCAATTTATTATAGATATGAGCGTGATTAAGATGTATCATGCAGCTTCCAGCTGCCAGCAAACCATCAGACGATTTTACTTTGGTGGAGATTTTAAGGGTAGTGGTGAATTTATTATATTTTTTTATCTCTTTATTTATTTTCATTTGTTTGCAATATCTCCCTCTTATCGTGTCTTTTACATATTTAAGCTGATTAAGAGTTTTGAAACAGATGACAAACAAAAATGTGATTTTGGTAAATCTCTCGAGAGTTAACGTCTAAAGTATTTAAAAGTAGGACGTTGATTCAATTTTGCTGACAGTGCTACCTGTGAGATGACTACTTGAATATTTAGAAGTAAAGTATCTGGAGTTTATGCCATGTGTGAACGAGCATGCTCTACTTTTATAAGGACGCATGTTAATACCAGGCCTTAAAAAAGCTATAAACACACTGAATCTCAAATTGTCCTCTTGCTAAAATGTGATATTCAAATAAATCTAACTTGATTTGACTTAAATATAAAACCACTATTTTTTCCCCCTCTGGAGACTTCAAAATGTCAAACTGTGTTACTTATGCACAAGATTACAAAATGTTTTACATCAACTATTGCATGACAAAAATATATATTACTACATATTTGTACAGTACAGTATGCTTTGTATATATATATATAAAAAAAATCAGAATAAAGACAAATAAATCCAAACTGATGAAAATAAATGACATCTCTAAACAGATGTGCCAAACTAATTTGATTTGCCAATTCCAAAACTTGAAGGTCCAATGCTCTACTGCCTTTTGGCAAATAAACACTTTTGTTAGTGACCCTAAAATGAGTTAATTTGTCTTAGGACTTGAAAAGGTGGAAACAGCTGAGAAATGAAGAACAGCCAAAAGTGCTGAGTGATCACAAAAAAAGGCCTGCAGCCCACATGTCTGTGTCAGAAGCACTGCAATGCTACTTTTGTCAAGCAGTCCACAGTCAGTGTGTAGGGAATGAGTAGTTTCCATCTCGAAGGCTTCACAGAAGATGTCACGCGAAGCAATCAAAAAGTTAACTTGTCACAGTGATATCTGGGTTTCTTTGCAGCCGCTTTGGCTGTGCTCTTGGGGGGCAATTTGCAAAAATATGACACACCGCGGTGATAAAGATGTTCCAGCTCCTCGGACGTGTGCTGCACTTCAATACAGGGCACGCTGGAATCACTCTAACAGGAGCCATTTAAGTGAGACTGATACAATGGAGCTGCTTCAGGCTTCACCAAATGCTGTTAACATGTATTCAAATGCAGAGTAGTGTATTTTTGGGGGCAATAAAATGCTAATCGGTATCAGTCTCTTACAGTGACAGTCATCCTTTAAATCCTGTTTTAATGGATTAATGGATCACAGTGGTTCACAGATATTATTAGTCTGCATTTAATTTTGCCTGAACAAGAACGACAGAGTAACAACCGTCACACCCTGGATTCTAAAATGTAGTCTTTGAAACTCATTTAGGATAGATCAAAATGAGGTTTGTTATCTACACTGTAGTGTTTCAGAATACTACTTTGGAAATGACTCATTAGCAGCTATATCTCTTCATGATTTACTAGATCTCCAAAATATTGCCATTTTGTAATTTTTAAATATACGGTATTCCATCCAGAACTTTGGTCCTTCTGGCAATGTAAAGTGCTTTATAAGTAAAGCTGAATTGGATTGATACTGCTTCCCCGACTATATATTATGTCATATTATATTATGCGTTTATTTTATGACATTCATCATTTGAATATATTTTAAACTGAAGCAAAAGCTGATCTTGGTATTTCTCCCAATAGTGCTTAAGTACAGTGTGCTGCACAAAACTGCAGATAGTGAAAATTTGAAACTGATTACCTCTGCTTCTGCCTTCCAGCTCTTTCTCCATGAGTTCTTTCTGAGACGGAAACTCGCTTAGCTTGACCTTGCACATGGCATCGTTTTGACCTACTGTGCTTATCACCTCTGGATCTTTCTCATGGCGATCTTCAGTCTCCACATGGATCCAAGGGATTTTTCTGACAGAGACACCAGCAAAGATTTATTTATTTATTTTTAGGCATTTCATTTAAAAGATTAGGTTCTATAACAGACTAGAATGTAGTTTGGCGTGCGGGCGGACAAACCTTTTGAATTTGTAGATAAAAAATGCAGCTATACCAACAAAGACCACGCTGATCAGCATTAGCATTGCGGGCCCACTGTGAATTGAATTTGAATCCACCAGTGGTGCTGAAACACAAGCACATTCAAATTTGTCATATGAAATTGTGAATATCAACACAGTCAGGAAAATTTTAAGACATTTTTAATGAAAAAAAGTCTTTGTAGCCTCAGAACCACAGCTTTGTTAAAGACATGAAGTGAATGCCGTGTTCAGAGGTTGAAGGTTCTTCTGCATCTGTAGGCTCTGATAAAAGTATGACAAAAGTATGCAACTTGACTCTGCAGCTGAACCCAATTATTCCAAATGTGTGAAAAATAAAATTGCCCAATATGTCTTTTTATGGGTTTCTTTTTATTTTTATTGGCTTTTTATGACCCTTGTTAGTTCAAAATGTTTTCTGAACAAAGTTGAAAATTAAATCTTTCAGTTTTTGTCCTGAGAGGTAATTTACCAAGGTTCATAATTACAAGTAGACTGGACTTGGACTTGCAACGGAGCACTTTTAAAATTCTTTCATAGCGTACCGGCATTTTACGTCTCCAGGCCACTGTTCTTAGACAAATCCTTTTCTTACAAATTTGTGCAATTTTGGTCATGAACATGAATTTAACTATTGTGAGCCAAAAGCCAGAGTCCAAAAGTACAAGTAATATATAATGTTTATACATGTTTCCTTTCACTTATGGTTGTTTGTCTTCCAGAGGGATTACTTTGATTACTCAATCCCATGTAACCACCAGAGCTGCAATTTAAAGAATTGAAATTTGCATGTTATCCTCTGAGGGTGTTAAAAGAAACTGTCAGGACAACCCTGGTCTCTCCCTGGGGACCTTCGTGTTGCAGCAGTTTATGCATGCTGAGGTGCAATATTCAAAGCATTTCTCCTCACCACCCATCTTTCTCTCCCACTGATAGAAGACAATGAAGTGTTTGACCTTTCAGGATCATTTTAAAGGCAACCCAGACCTTTGTGTGCAGACACAAATGAAGACAGATCCATCGGTGGATGAAAAGGGTAAAGCCACGCAGGGCTGATCGGCACATTTGTGCAATATGTTAATGACCCGATGACCCTGCAGATTTCCTTGGCGCATAACTAATGCCCTCCTTGTCAATCACCTCATCGATTGACTGATTTCAAACAGCTACTGTACCACAGCTTAAGGTTAAAAAAAAAAGCAAACAAAAAAAAAACCCTGAAACTGAATAATGTTTAAGTCCTGTAATAAACTGTACTTGAAGTTTTAACTCTAGACAAAACCTTGGGTCAAACAGTTTAGAGTTTTGAAAATGGAAAAATTATGTTGATAAGTTTGAAAACCATGAACCTTCAGCCTGTTTGAAGATATATATTATTTGTTGGCAAAAACAATAGAAATGTAAAACTAAACCGGTTTGTAGAAACAGTGACCTAATGTTGCAGCAGGACTTACCCAAGGTTTGCTGAGTCATGGACACGACAATATGAATATTTGCTTTTAGCTCAAAATGGACCAGGCCTTGGTTCAGGGCAGTGACAAAGATATCTGATATCTGTTTAGGAAAGATAACACAAAGGATGTTATCGGACACAATCCAGAATTGTCATTGCAATCATTTGACTCTTAACATAATAATGACACTAAAAGAGCAAAATACTTAGAAATACAATGCTTAAATGACAATCTGGAGAAGATATTCTTTATTAGAGCTGATTTGCTTAATTTTTGAATGGCTCTCTTGTGCAGCCCAAGATAAGTTAATATGCTACATCAGACAAAACATTTCCAGTGTCCAGTTCTATCCTTACCAAAAATGATAAGGATGGCTCAGCCCACCAGACATCTACCAAACCTCTCTACTGACTGGCTAAATGTGGCATAAAGGAGAGTCTGGCAACGCATGAAAATGGGACATGTTAATGGCTATTCTCCTTTCAGTTCCCAGGCACAATGCAGAACAGAAATGTCCAGGGAGGAGTTTCTTTTTCAAATGGGTGAACAAAAACTTTTTTGAGCACAGACTGCTCCAAAAGTGTCACCATGAGAAAAAGAGAACTTGCCAGACTGACTTACAAAGCTAATTAAGAGTCTGTTATGATGTTATGGTGTAAGAACTTAGGTTTTCATTTAAGTGTCTATTTTGATCATTTCCTTGTCATTTATTTAATTTGATTTTGCCTCTTTGTGTTTTTATTTCCTGGTTCATTATTTATTGCGCATTCAGATTTACATGTTTGTTTACAGTACTGTTTGTGTTAGCGTCAGGATTTTCCCTTTCGTCTATTTTCTCTTTTTCTCCTGCTCTACCTATTTTGTATTAGATTTTCAGTTTCATTGGACCAACATTTTAAGAGTTCAAATAACAAACTGTTATTGTTGTTGAAGTTTAAAATGAGCTTCCTCTGAAGGGTGGCTAGGGTCACCTTAAGAGATGGTCAGGAACACAATCATAGCGGGGGAGCTTGAACTAAAGTTTAAGACAACATGCTGATATGTAGGAACAAATTACACTGGAGGTGACATGTTTGCAATTGATGTTGATGGTTTGCTTTTTTTATTACCAGAAACGTTCAAATGAAAAAATTTCCACAAGTCGCGTCTCTTACTGTATCCAAAGCCTCCTCGCTTCTTTTCTTGTGCTCACTTGACATTTGCTCATCAGACAGCATGAAGAGCTCAGCTGTGGTCGGAAGTCCAGGGTACAGAGACACCATCAGCTGACTCTCAGAAACCCCGGACACCTGCTGGGACACGAATGACAGGCTTAACTCCATTAAGGAGCTTAATTTAAGTTTGAGACCAAAATATAGCAATATCCCGTGTTTCTCCGCAGCAAGAATGGCTGACATCGCCTCTAATTCACACTACTTATTCACACTAGTGACCTGTCATCACAGATCACCTAAAAAAAAGGCTTGTGGAGGACAGAACTTTATGGCTGTGTGGTTATTATTGCACAGGGGTTTAAAATAGTAATGACCCTGAAAGTAATGGGGTTCCAATGCTGGTTTCAGGAAGGACCTGTTGGGACTTGATGTACCTGTGACAGAGCTGTCCGCACCACACGGCCTATGTCCTCCCTCCACTCGGGGATGTCAGGATTGTGTTCGTCAAGAGCTGGTGAAAACGACAACAGCAGTGACCTGAAGTACTCTGGAAAAAAGGGGTGAAGTAGTATGTATTAGAACATAAACGCTACTTCTAGTTTAGTTTTTGATTAATATGATGTGCAGATTTGTCTATTTTCATTTGGGAACATACGCCTTGAAGTTAATTGCTCTTCCAGATTTTATGTTCGCATAGCGTGACATTTTATTCATTAGATAGGTCTACACTGACATACATTAGGCACAGCTCACGGTGCTGACCGTGAGGCATCACTTCCTCCCCCCCCCAACAGTAGCCTATTGCATATTCATGTACCTATAAAGTGCTTTGAAGTCTGTCTTTTCCACTCACCTTTAACAGTTATAACTTTTGAGTCTTCCAATACACTGCTTCCACAAGCAACCTGGACCGTGACCTTGTTTTCTCCCTCTCTGAGAAACATGTGCGAGATGCTTCCTTCCAGAGTTATAATGGGCTGAATTTCAAAAGAAAGAAAAAAAAAAACAAAACAAACAGAATTTCTCAAGAAAATGCTGAATAAATACTACATGTATGCAGCCCTTGGCTCGCCGTATAATGAATAGTTGTTTCAGTGAATATAATCAAAGGGATAAATAAGTCAGATCCCTTTGAGCTCAATCTTCCAAGAAAAGCGGGGGGGGGGGGGGGGGGGGGGGGGGCACAAGCCCAAGATTTACACTATTGTGGAAAAGCTCTGTAGGTTTGCAGTTTTAAATTAATATGATGGTGCAAGGACAGCAGAAGAGGAGTGGGAGAGTGGAAACAATGACAGTAATCTGGACAAAGACGAATGCTGAAAAACAGTAGAAGCAGGAGGTGATGCTCCCTCACCTCGGAGCTGTTTTCAAACCACCAAAAGAAGGTCAGAGTTCTTGTGTGGCTTGGCCAAACTACTGCTGTGAGATTAGCTGCTTTCTCCCTGATGGCCACAATAGGAGCGGAGAGATAAACACGATCCACTGGACCTGAGGCAGTAGCAAAACACATGCACATATACATACATGCATTAGATTAATTTAAGTAGTAAACATTGAGTACTGAATTAATCACAGATGATGCACTCTGCAGCTCAAAGTGTGTGCATCTGCATGTCCCCCAAGCCTAATATGCACAAAATATTAGAAGTATGACTGACATGATATTTGCCAGTGTCAAAATGTCCAGAAAAGCGAGGAGGGTTCATTCTGTATGCAGTGCTGCAGGAATGAGTAATGACGTTACTTATCCACGTACTGGTAATGTGCAAAAAAAGTGCGCTGCTGTCAGATCCCAGGTTGTTTTCTGCAGTAGCTATCACGCGATAAATCCCAGTCTTTCTGTAGATGTGCTTGATGCCGTCGTCAGTCCGGCTCAGGTTAGAGTATGTGATCTTGATTCCGTCCCCGAAGTCTAGCTGGATGCTGGTGCTCGGAGACTCTCCCTGCGGATACACAGGATGACATGGCATCTGTCATCACAGCTTAGGTCAGGACACTTCTGTTAGGCCAAGTACAACTGGAGATAGCCTGGCCCGTTGCTTAAGTGCTGAGCCCTGGATGTCCATTAAGCAGTGCCACTGAAATCATGTGGGCGTCTATGGATAAAAGGTGACATAAATCCATTTGAGAAAACAAGATGAATAGCAAAAGAGAAAGGTCACCCAGTGCCCAAAAAGTAAATAAAAGTTTACTTTTCTTTACTTTCTTTACTTATGAACAGTAGCCATTTTATAAAGTCCTTTAAATATGCTTTAATTAGATATGCTGCAACATATCGCTTTGTCGTCACTGACACAATTTAATTTAATTTAAAGAAAAATAGCAGTCACAGAGGTATGCTTGGATGCAATATTTGGTGATCTATAATATTTCGGGTATGATTCAATCAAACTCTTCTAGCCAATAACACCTTAGTTTAGTTCGACGGATGTGCAAGTTTCTTTTTCGGAGTCAACAATTGACAAATAGTTGTGTTCAGCATCTCTAGCTAGAGCATCTATGTTTTGATAGAAATTCTATATTTACAAATCAAATAATTCACCATCAGGTGTATTATGGCAGCAGGAAACCAACGGTAATGGCAGGCATGCATCTGGTTCTGTGTAACTGTATCATCTATTAAAACAGGTGTCTTCAAAATAATAGCATTGTGGAGATTAATCAGTGTGGTCATTCATCTTGTTTTTATCTTGTTTTTACAAGAGTGTTTTCAAAGGTAGTTTGAATAAAATGTGTTTATTATTATTATTATTATAATTATTATTATTATTATTCATAAGAACAGTGTATAAACAAAAAGATTTATTAAAGAGGGGAACAGATACAAAGACAAATTATTTTAAAATAGAAACCAACGTTAGAAAAATGCCAAAGAATACAGAAAACAACCAGTGGAATGGATAACAGAAAAGCAAATAAAAACAAAGAACAAGTCAATATTCGCTCAAGAGGGAAATAAATCTAATGTTAGTTGTGAGAACTCCAATAATAAGAAAATGTCAATGCGAAGCTCTCTGTAAGAATCCCAGCAGGAATAGCCTTTGTTAGTCCATTTGGTCTAAAGAGGGGTCTTCTTGCAAACTTATCAGTCTATGTTTGAGCTGAACAGGTTACAATTAGCCAAAAACACAATGACTGGCCAAAAGAAAAATGGCATGATGACTTCAGGACAAGTTTTTCTCATTAGGTCTACGAACCTCAATTTCTGAATTAACCTCCAACACTGAATTTTATGGTCTCATCTGGTCATTTCCATTTCTGAACTATTTTTCAATTTGAATACATCAAAATACATCAAAAGTTATGTTGTCTTTTGAAATATGAAAAAAAATAAGAAATTGCTTTTGAAATGTTTTTTTTTTTTTTTTTCTTTAAGAAGAGATCAATTGAAAACAAACCAGTAGCTGAGCAGCATCTCAGACTTAGACTGAAAAGATGCAAGAGATGGAGAGGTCACATCAATTTTAAGACAGTAGTCCAATTAAGAACTTGTGGGATGATGTCAAACATCCTGTTTTTGAGTAAAAGCAAGAACAGACGAACAGTGGAGAGTAGTCTGATCTTTCTGGGCTAAAATACCTATCATGTAAACAAAATCCTTAAACACACAAAACTGAGCTTTGAACACTTTTTTTTCAAAAGGCACTGAACACATCTGCAGATTTTACTGACAGAAATGCTAATGCTCCAAGAGAGGGATCGGGGAGTTAGAATTGACAAGAAAGAAAAGAGTGATGAAAATATTTGCTAATTGCAATAATTGTAACGACTGTGATCTGTGATCACAGTAATAAAACATATTGTAAAATGTTGTAGATACTTGTACAGTCCTTTATCAAATCCAGAGGAGCCCATAGTTCTTCACACTACATTTAATCATCCATCCATTCATATTCACACACAGCCCTCTGACCATCACCAGCAGGCAAGGCAGGTGAACCGTCTTGTCCAAGGACACAGCGACTAAGACGGACAATGAAAATTACAGGACAAATTCCTACTACCATTGTAATTCAGATTAAATTATTTGCCATTTATAAAGTGTTTAATTTTATCAAAAAAATAAATAAATACATTAACTTAGGTATTGTTTACTCTAAAATACAATCTTTATTTTCCACAACTTGGTAGATCAGTCTCAGAAAGTTAATTTGTGGAGCTCACCAGAAAAAACCCACTAACTCCATGTCAACAGTTTTCAGGCTACCATTGAAAAAAGAGGTAATTCCAATTAAATCTGCTAACAGTTGAGATCTAAGGATTATGACGTGGTTGGTGATGACCTGACTTTTCTTCAGCCATTATAATTGTGATGTTTATGTGCGTGTGTGTATGCATGTGGAAATGTTAAGACCAATTCTGATATAAACAATGATACTGGAATTTAACAATGATAATAGACTGAAAAGATCTGGACAAGATCTGCGTGTACTCATTAAATATTTTTCAGTTTGCTCATTTTGAAACAGGGGCCATTTATAAGTCGCTGTGGTCACGCTCCACATGTCAAATTGCCCTTGAGCAAAACACTGAAATCACACATTGTCTCAAATGTGCTCCTATTTGTGTAACTTTAGACTAAAATAGTGCAGTGTGAGTGCAAGGAAGTCAGTAGGTTAATGGGCAATAACTTGCACAAATACTTTGTAGAACTTGGAAAAAAGGAAAGTAAATTAATGTGGATCAGGGCATGCATATGATATTTCAAGTATGACCTTAACTGCAGAAGTGAAGTGAAGAGCAGCACATGTGACCTTATGATACAGGTGTACAAATATAACAAATCTAGAGTTACCTCTTATTGCCACGGATGGTCAGATGTTTTATTGTAAATAAGTATGGCTATGATTCAAAAGGAAAAGCTCATTGCGAGATTTGGAAGTTACACAGGGCTATAGCACAGTGCAACACTTGGGCAATACTGAACTGAAACACTAAGATGAACATTTTTTGCAAAATGGAAACATTTGCTGCATTTGCACATTCTGTTGGTGGTGACAAGAGACTTTGATTAACACATTCAGTTTAAAAAACCAAAAAAAAACATGTTTCAATGTATGTGAGGAGATAATTTTGAATAGCATAGAAAGACTGCTGAGTCAAGAGTCACAGCTTCTTCAGTATGAGCACCACAGATTACACACCTGCACCGACAATGTCACAGAGATTAAATGATAGCCTTACGCTAGGCTATCCAAATCCCTGACTTACATCAAGATGTGAGGATGTTTTGAAACCAAAAGTGAAACGCTAGGTGTTTGCCGGTGAAGGCTAATAATTGTATGGCCAGTTGGGGAGACTCATTAATATGTTTCTTAGATGATAAAAATCATACTCCATATCCAAACCCGGTGGCCTCAATATTCAGGGTCCATCAAAAGTGATAGAAAAGGCATGGCAGGACTTAATGTTCAACATGTTTAAAATACATAGTACATTGACAGAATACAATATGGAAGTCAATCAAATAAACCAACAATTCTGAAGCCCACGGAAAAGATGCCTAGTAATGAGTTCTAATGTTTTTGTTTCTTTGTTTTGTTTCTGCACCTTTATCTCATTTTGTCTTCATTGCTTTTCTATTGAACCAAGACTTAAAAAAAAACTCTGAACGATGTAAAATAAAAATTTCTCCTTCAAGGAGTTCAAGTTATTCACATACCATAACTTTTCATTTCATTCAATCTATTTGGTACCAGGCATATAGTACAAGTGATGCATACACTTCCTGCATAGCCCCATTTTGTTCCTCTCAGCAAAAATACATGGCATTCTGTTGCACTTACGACAAGATGTATAATATCCCTGATCTACTACACAACAATTGCCACTACACGTTTATTTAAACACAAATTATGTAAAATTATGACTCACATTATCAAGGTGGATCATGAAAGTAACATTGCTTCCAATGGCAGCACTGAGCTCTCCGTGGCTGGTGGACAGATGCAGACCCTGGGGTGGTTTGGGTTGGCATGCCACCCTCTTTGGTGAGTACACATTTCTTCCTTCCTCCTTACAGTTATTGGACAAGACCTTACGATACCTTTCAAGCATGAAGTGGAAAAGAAGCAAGCATCATCTAATAACAACCAGTACTTATGTTCTAAAATGAAGGGATGCATCATCTGACACTGATGCGCACCCTGCACTTTTCACACATACTAGAGGTGCCACAGCTACACGCTATTGGTTTTATTTTTCACCTCTGTAGTCAAACAATTGCAATCTTTCAACAATATAGAGATTTAGCTGTAATTGTTCCAAGTATACATAAATCTGTCGCTTACAAAGTGTGCAATTGATTGCTTTGTTTATTTATCTTAAAGAAAATGATACACAAGATGCAATATATATATATATATATATATATATATATATATATATATATATATATATATATATATATATATATATATATATATATGTGATTTTCTGTTTTCATTCTATACAGCTTGTGAAACAAGATGAGATTGAATAATAATGTTTGTTGAGGGTCTTAACATTGAGGCCCACTTACCCTGTGCTGTTAAGGAAGCTTTGGCTGGAGCTGCAGCTTTTAGCCACACCATTTGGATTAAACCAAAAAGCAGGAGAGCACTTCCCATCTGCCTGGCGCTCCCACCCATAGTCACTGCCAAAATAAAACAAAAAGAACAAAACACATCACTTCATGAGATGATAAACACTGCTTCTCAAAATAATCTGCAAGCTTTGGTACTGAGGCAAATTTTCTGCGGTTAGAGCTTCATGGAATATTTTAAGACCTTAACTATTGACATGATTGTCAGACAAGCAAGATCAAAGAGAATTTCAAATGGACGGATAAAAAATAATTAAAATTCATTTAACAATTCATTATTAATTGAATCCTAATAAGGTTTTTGACATTATGCAAATTAGAAAAAGCATGATGAAAGTTCTAAACTCTAAATGTTTCAAGCTGCAATCAGAGTCACACTGTAGTAAATGTGCAATGTACCATGTGGTATGAAAGTAGGACGTTTTTCAGGCTGATATCTTTTTTTTTTTCTTACAAATTTCAACAGGTAGCCTAATTACTTACAATAAAAATATGTTTGGTGATGAGTTGATTGGAAAACATAAAAAAAATTCACTTTGCGGTCCTCTCTGGACAAAATAAGAAAAATACAAATAAAACAATCATCACCATTCGAAATCATAGGCGTTGCAGGTACACGGCTCTGAAGAGTAGATTCTGGAATAATCTTGAGCCAACATGCAACGGTTGCCGGGCCGCCGCTTCATATACTTCTGCTTCTCACCCATCACACACTGCTGTTCCTTTTTCACATTAAGAAAATTGTGTTTGGGTTGTTTTAGCGCGTGAATTCAGCAGCAGAAAATTTTTCAAGGAACATGTGTAAACAGGCATGCGAGAATATTTCTGTTACCTTGTTGTGCAGGGACCATGTCTGATAGTCACCATCCATGCATCTCCTGCTAAAAAGACCCTTGTAGTCAATCTTGATCAGTTGCCACTCTGAACGGTGGCTGAAGTGTCCAAAAAAGCTGCAAGAAGATTAAAGGAAATTTCTGATTTCCAACGGAAACCATGCCAAGATGTAGAAATACACTTTTCGAAATCTGTGTGTCTGACATGTAGATCTGAATTCTGTAGTAAATAAGACGCCTTCAGTAAAGGTGATGAAAACACAAATATTTAAGATAAGTATATTAAATCACATGGGATCAATGAAACAAATTAATGAAATGAAATGTGGGCTCAAAGCTACAGAAGGTAATAAAAAAAAAACTATCTTTTACATATTTTTAAAAAATTCTATTTATGCTTAAAAAGTATAATTTGAGTCAAGTAATCTGTGAAAAAAAACATTCTCTTGTGGCCCCACAGTCATCTGCAATAATAGACTGGTGAATAAACTTGATCAGAAACAACCAATCAAAGCCCAGAGGAGGGTCTGAGCACTGTCTCCCTTCCTCTTGGTTGCACTACTAGAATGGCAATGATGACAGATGAACAGTTTTCAGTTGAAAAGCATAATGCTGCCACCACCTTGCAAGAGAGTGAAGATGGTATGCTCAAGGTGATCTACAATGTTAGTTTTTCACCAAACATTACTATATTATTAGGGCAAAATGCCCAACTTTAATCTCATCAGACCACAGAAGAAACCAAATGAATTATGCGGTGTGTTCCTCTGTCCTCAGGATGCTGTTCATAAACAACAAAATAACTGCATTTATAACAAGATTTGATTACACAGTGCCTGCCTTCATCTATTTGTAAGGTGAGTTTTGGATGTAGTTGGTTGTATGGTATGTATTTTCTTTAGGGTTGGCAGAGTGAAGCCAACTGAAAATTTTATTGCTGTGATATTTTTTTCACAGCAATAAAAAGTGAAGCTAAAGTGGCTTTTGTTGCAGTGCAATAGCCTGTTGTAATCATCACTTTCACCTTCATTGTTCACAAAAACTCAGACAATCCTACAGCATTGAACCATAAGAGTCGTAATCACTGAATAAGCTCCAAACCCCTGAGACCCCAGACTGATAATACATACCCACCCAACATCTCAGAGCACAAGTTTAACATGGGAGGGCAGAAAACTTCCAATACAAACGGTAGACAAGCGCTTTTACTGTGAGGGCAGAACGATGCTGGAAACATTTTAATGTGGAACACCTGTGGAAAAATCTCTGCTTAAACCCACGGAAGAGCTCAATCTTAAACCCCAACATCCTCCTGGGCTGTACCTGTTAGTCTTTGCTTACGTGATAATGTGATTGTCAGACTCAGGCTCCATTAAAACTCCATCCACATACAGCGGCACCAAGGAGAAACTGTGGCGATCCCATTTCTTCCCTTCATCAAGACTGATCCTGCATAACAAAGGCAATATCTGTCAGTGCATCAAAACCTCTGTACTCCTGTTTATCTCTCTAAAGGTGGAAAATGTGTTATTTATCCCATGTAGACGTTATCAAATAGAGTATGTACACCAACTATGCAATGGGAAACAAGTAAAAGTGAAATATGATCACATATTTTAGGTCATTTAGCTTTTGCCATGTTTGAAAAATGGAGCCCAATAGCTTCTCTTCACTTTGAAAAATTAACTTGACAGCCAGCTGAACAAAGGAACAAATGTCCCTCAGCCCAGGTAAATGTTTGAAGGTGACAAAACATCAGAAAGAAAGGTATGACTCAGATTTCAACATCAGAAATAGATTTAGGGGGGTTTCAAATCACCTTTCTTTGAGCTTAATCACTTTTGACAGCATTGTAGTGTGCAGGGACATCAAAGTAGATAGTGTTACAAAGCTCCCACAATGAGGGACTTATGAGGGCATTCTGAGTTTCATATTTCCATCCTGCTCCACTTCTCATTTACATAAAAGCACTCAAACCTTCATATCCAACCAAGAGTACAAAGCTGTAACACACTCTCTTCTGCTGGAAATGACAGCTCTGAAGCCACTGTGGCGATACAATAATCACATAAAGTTGGCCCATCAGCATTTCAAAACATTAAGTGTAATCATATGCTGTACCACCACCTCCCACCCCCAGAGCTCCTCCACCCCCACCCAGTTCAAAATTATATTCAGGTAATTTTCCACTACACCCTCAAACCTACACTTCCTAGCTCTGGTATGCTGCTTGTAACAACATGCGATACCTACCATAGTTGTCTAATAGGCATTGCCGCATGAAGAACTGCTAGCAAAGCTCCTCCATTGTCAAGAAACCAAATGTTGTACTCTTCGTCAAAAATCTGAATTGAGTAAAAAGGAAAAAGGACATTACATTCTTTCCTTTTTCATTTGATGTAAAAACATCAACTGTTTAGCACAAAATCTATAAATGCTGCTTACCTGTCTCCAGCTGTTCCCTGCGTCTGATGTTATAAACATCCCAAGGTTGGTAGAGGACAGCTCATTTCCAATGTTTCCTGAGTACAGAAAAGACAAACTGTACACTATTGATGCAGCCACAAACTTTGAAATGTTTTATTGGGTCATCCAATCTGACTGAGATTAAACTATTTTACAAATAAGAATTAGTAAAGATTCCAGTCTCTACATGTGCAAATCAGGGGTGCACTGATTTCAATTTTCTAACGATCTATTAAAAATCCTGACCTGCCGATTCCGATTTTGGCTAATACCATTTTTGTTTTGTTTAAAATGTTGCTAAATGTCTGCGACAGGCTGGCGACATTCACCCGGAACGTGGCTGGAGATAGGCACTAGCACCTCCTGACCCCATTCGGGATAAGGGTGAACAGAAAATGGATGGATAGATGGATGTTGCTAAATGTAGCAAGAAAGTAGATGAGTTGCCAACAGTGAGATGACTATTGTTTACTGCAAACATATAGACCTCATCTGGTGGGCCAGTCTGATAGTCAAACCTCTATCACTGCTGAAAGAGGTCTGACTAGAATAAGATAACAGTTGATTTAAATACATTTAGCGAGGTAGATAAGATCGGTGGTTAAGATCGGCTTCACATGTAAAGATCAGTCGATCCCCGATTTCCCAAAATTATGGAAATTGGCACCGATAAATCAGTGCATCCCTAGTGCAAATGCAGCAAAGGGATTTTGGACAAAATCTGAGGAGAACTAAATACATATTTATTCTTTATATGTTTTTTCAACACTACACGTATGCACTGATTTCTATTGTTAACATAAAAAAAGCACCAAAATATATAAAATATGCTGGTTATAACATGATAAAATCCAAGAAAAATGAAAGGAGGACTGATGTTTTTCCAAGGTGCTGCATTAACACAACGGAGACCCAATGTCATATTTTCTCTACGCACACAATCAGCTGATAAAATCAGTATTTTCCAAAGCTGTTTGTGTGTCCTCATTTTCCAGTCTCAGTTGCGGAGGACAAACTTATGTCTTAGTGCAACCAAATCATTTCACCGCAAAAAAATAAGATTCAGGAGCCGAAGTTTCTGTATCTGATTCCAGTGACAGAAAGGGGGCAATGTGCAATTTATTTTGAACATTTCTGCTGTTGCACAGCAGCAATGTCCTCATCTGAGGGGGAAAGAAAGAATGTGTGAAGTCTCACTGCTTTCAAATGCACATCTATTTTTTTTTATATTATTTTCAAACTGTACCTGTGGCCACAATAATTCCTGGGACAGACTTTTTGCTGGTGATGGGCCCAGATGTGTAGGGATTCTCTGACATCTCCAGATGGAGATGCAACGAGCAAAATGGCTGTCAACAACAAAACACAGCACACGGGTGAGCTGAGACACCATGTATCAAGATCTTAACCGAGGCGGCTGTAATTAGCTCTCCTTTTTTCTGATTCTTCTCACTGAGAAAAAAGTGCTAACATTTTCAGAGACCATTTATAAAACAAAGATACTTTGATCCACCCCCCCCATCTCCTCTCCCAGAATAAAAACAGGAAATAGCTGAGAGGACACAGAGGGCATTCGAATTGTTTCATTCCAAAGCAAACAAGGCATGTAATTAAAATTCCCCAAGATGCACTGATAAAACTGGCAAAATTGATTCGAATCATTTCACTCATCTTCCTGACTGAAGCAAACTGAAAAACATCAATAGAGCCTTTCAAAGAGCTGAAGCTGCTGTGTGGGGGGCAGTGGGAAGCAGACAGGAGCAGAGTGGTCATTTGTGCAGCACACAGAACAAATGCAACCTGCTTTAACTGTGTAATATACATTTTCTCTCTCTGCAGGACAGACTGGCTGGATTAGATTCCATAATACTGACTGAATAACAACACAGGCCCTCAATGTAATCTAACATTCATTAGTCCAACGTGACTACAGGTAGTAAATTGAAATCACAGAGGTTAATGGAAAGTCAGGACCTCAGAAACTAAACGCGCTGACACTCTGTGCCTTACACCGATAATAGGAATATTTCCCTCATCCATTTAGCAGACGAATGCCAATGCTAAAGCTAGCACCTGGTTTTGCAATAAAAAAAAATTATCCTAAACATAACTGATTAGGTCAAAACATTTGATACGTGCCATGATCTTACATGAACAAAAGCATCCATACACTCTAGTGTAAAAGGTTCAAACTTACCAAAATGCAGTGAAGGTTTTTTCCTGACACATCTGTTGTTGGCGCTGGCAGCAGAGCCCATGTCTGTCCCTTGTTGTATGTGATGAAAGTCTTAATATGATTGTCCACTATTTTGTTGGCAAGATACATTCCGTTTATGCCCTCAACCTGCAAAGATCAGCAAAAAGTAATGTAAAATGCTTTGCAGTTGCAAAATGCATTTTGAATATTGAATTCAAAATGTCCTCTGTTAAGCAAAACATTTAAAGCTAATTTTTCTTTAAAAATTTGCTTTAAATTTTTAAAAAAAAATTTTTTCAGGGGTTTTGTTTTGCTGTGTTGGCTTTGATAAGCATCATGGTTTTCAACTGACTTTATCTACAAGCATCATAAAAACAACACTCTGATTATTATGCACATTAGAAAGTTAAATGGGCAGATATTTCTGATAAACGAGTTGACCGAACATGTGAATGACACTCTCACAGGGAGAACATCCCAAATTTTAGGGAAAGAAAAGGATAAACAAGCTGAACCTTGCTGTCACTTTGGGCATACAGCTAAATGTGTTGTAATGGTGTTAACATAATTTACCTAAAACATCTAAATGACCGAGAAAGACATTAGAAACATCTTGACAAGACACTCGAGCAGGCTGAATGCACTCCTCTGGCGCACTCCTATGCACCCGATATCATCCGATCAGTATTTGGCAGGCTGTCAGTTTTTGCCACAACTCCTGATTTGTTCCTGCGGTCGACTCTAACCTCATGAAAAAGGCCTCCCATGCTTACTGTAGGTGGCAGTTCTCAACTGGCTAGTGACTTAAATCAGTTGGGAGAGGCACAGAAATTTTTATTGAAAATTATGACATTACAATAAGAAAAATTTAAGGGAAAATAATATTTCCATGGAGTAAGAAAGGAGTAAAATTTCTTGTATTTTACCCCTTTGACTGGTATGGACAATACATACAATACAACCTGTGACCTAAAGTAAAAATATTCAAAAAATAAATATTCCAATCTGTGTTGGAAAAAAAGCTAGGATATCAATAGCTTAATAAATAAATTAGTAACTGATAATTAATTTGTTAGTTATAATTGGCCTTTTGCCCATTGACCGCTGGAGATAGGAACCAGCGACCCTTGCGACCCCACTGTGTAAGCTAATGGATGGATGGATAGTTATTATTGTGTGATGACTGAATGATGAACTGTAGGCAAAGGAGCAGCAGCAGTCCTTGAACAAAGCTGATGACAAACCTTGTAAAAGTCAACCAGTAGGTTACCAGCAGGCCCTCTGCTGGTCCTCAGATTCTCTAATGAAAGGATAAAGTAGACCCCGGGGGAGTCTGAGATATACAGGCTGTAAGTGTTGTTCTGGTTCCACTCCTGGACAGCAGCAAATACCTGCTTCTCATCTGTGCTGATAATATGCATGTCCTGTAGCAGTGGAAAGGCGGGCACAGACAGACAGACAGAGAATAACAGATACAAATGGAGAAACATCAAACCGACCCAGAAAGAAGTCATCAGCTTGTTTCAAATGTGACATTTCTTCATAAATGTGTTGCATGGTTTTGTCCTCTACAAGTGAAGGTTAAAATTGTGACAAAAAAGGAAGACAGGAAATCTGTTGCTTACCTTCGGCAAACAGTACTTTGGTAATTTCATCTGCCTGAAGGATTCTCTCATGTAGGAGACAAAGTAACTGGCTCGTCCTGACTTGGTTACCTTTGTAGGAAAGAAACTGTCAGAAACATTATGTAACAATTCTTATGGGAGAAAGCATCTTTAGATGGGAGGATAAATAGATTAAACGTGGGATAGAAAAAAGGAAGATGAACATTTTAACGTACCAATTATGATTATTTATTTGGACAGCATTTAGTTTAAAACTCTATTTGGTAATGCATATGCTACTATTGTGCTAACAAAGCAGCTTTACATTAACCCTCCCCCACCTGTTGTTGCGTGTCACCAGCGACTTGGTTTAAAAACATCTGATATGCTTACAAAAAATCCCAATAAAGACAAACTCAGCTGCTTGACAATGTAAGAAAAAATAAATAAAAGAGCGCTATTGATACACTTATTAACCTAAAATTGTTATTATCCTTGGGTGTTGAGTTTTAGATTTTATTTGTGCTTTGAGCACTTACTTTGATCTTTATGTTTGTGTTCTTAATTATTCCCAATCAGGTCTTGCCATATTTTTACTTTCATTGTTATTGCTTTAGAGGTCTTCCAATATATTCATTTCCTTTGTATTTAGTTTCGTTATTACTGTGTTCTGTTTTCTGGGAGTCTGAAGTTTGTTCTGTGGGACAAGTTAATTTTTTCTTCCTTTATATAAAGTTTTGTTGAGTCTCAGTTCTCCACTTTTCCTCAGCCAGGCAGCTTGCTCCCTTCCACAGCTGTGTACTGTTACCTGATTCTCCTCAGCTTGCATTCTTCCTCAGCTCAGCTGTTCTCCATTCAGCTGTTAATAGACCTTCTGATTGTTTTGACATTTCCACCACTGCCTCAGTATATAGGTTCCCATTGTTCATTATTGGATCCTCCCATAATTATGTCTGTTACCTGCTTGTGTCTTGATACCGGTTTGGTACCCTTTTTCTGTTTTTGTAAGTTTTCTATTTTTCACCTGGAAAGGTGTTTTAGCTCTTGCAATCAATTCCCCAACCGTTTTATTTTTTTTTCTTGTTGGCTTGTACAATTTACTTGTCTCCTTTTCTATTTCCAAACAGCTACATCAAGTTATCTTCAGAGCTGTGATGGTAGTTTTTATGACAATTGTTGCATGTTGATAGTTGTCTTTATGCTGCACAGTTAAATTTAGACATTAAGAATGCTTCCTGATTACATGAGACAATTGATAATTATCTAAAAATCTTCATGCACCTGAAATTCCAGACAATTATAGAGAATTGTTTATCTGGGAGGTAACTGTTGTGAAATGAAACATCTCCTGAAGGAAGCAAATTAATTCAGAATGAATGACTGATTTGATAAAACAATTGCATGTGTATGCGGCTTGCCGCAGCGTTGAAGGCTGGGAAGGGAAAAAAAATTACAAGCAAAACAGAAATTAATATTACCACCTTGATTAGTCTAAAATGACGAGCCGTCCAAAATTGAGTTGGCTTTATCTACAGCGCATCTTGAATATCTTAACGCGCTACCGCTGCTCCCATCCACATGCAGGCCAACAGTACTTGATTGCTTATTTTCTAATCAACTAGAAAGATGGTGTTTGTCCCCGAACACACTACATTAGGGCTCTAATGGAATAATCTATCGAAAATCAATGAGCTGCATTTTCCCAGGCCACATTTTTGAGGATGTTGCACTTGGCTGTTCCTCCCCTCCCGAGAGAGTTTGGAGGTGTTGAAGACGGCTTATTTTGTTGTACCCCAATCGATAACCTCATTACTCTTTGTCAAGTTAAATCCAACTGCCCCAAGCAATGAAAGTCACAAGAAAGTCATCTGTGCCACCGCAGCTCCGTGCAGACACTCTCTCCCTGATTGTCCAGTTATATTCACCAGCATCTTCCCCGCATCTGCCTCCGTCTCAGTGGTCAATCTCACCTCAGCTAAATGCAATTTCAGAATTTTATTGAATCACAGTTTATGCTGTGATTTCTTTCACCGCTTCTCAGTTTCAGTCAGGTCTGTAGCAACACATCAAATGATAAAATATTTGACTGGAATAAATATCAATCCGTAAGTAATTTTCCATGTGCAATGAAAACACACAGCCAAGATTAACAGCTTTCACTGAAACTTACCCAGAGTCAAACAAGGATGACCAAATGCATTAAGTCTGACCACCATGATAGAAAATTACTCACCGGTTGAAGGAAATCGATGACAGTGGAGGACATTGGAAAATTAAATTTCTAATAATGACCCTGACTGTGGTTGTCTAATTGGAGTCAAAGTCAGAGGGAATGATAATAAGAACGGCGACCTGTCTTTTCATTATTCCTTCACCATGTGCTCATGGAGAACAAAGATATTTTTCCTGGTATAGACTGGATTATGTCTGTGCAGAAACTGAAACGCCTAAGCGTGCCCTGACATGAACGAGAAAAGAAAAAAAAAATAATCAAAACACATATTGGGCCGGCGGGGAACAGGTGTGTTGGGAAAAGCCATTATGTGGGGTTTGATGGAAAAGCGTAAATTGGCTGCACAAGGGAGCAAAAATAAAAACAAAGAAGTAGGTAAAAAGAAATCAAAGTTCACCAAGATAGTAACCTTTAACTAAAATGATGAAGGCAACTATTGAGATTGAGGACAAGAAATCTGTTGCAATGCAAACCTGGGTGAAAACATATTCGTCCTGCACAACGAGGGAGTTGGTGTCTACGTGTCCAGGAAAGAGGTACTGTCTGTCGCCCTCTGTGCATCTCTGGGCTCTGCACTTCACATACTGAGCTCCTGAAGGGGGCAAAGGGAAATCAATAAGAAGTAAATTAATACCATTCACATTTAGACTCTGCTTTGTATGCACTGGGGGAGCTAGGCAGTACTATGATTTTAATCCACTCTAAATTTACTAGCTCATAAATTCATCTAAGTTGAGTTCAGTCCTACTTTTTTTCTAATTTGGTTTGTTACTACTAATACTATCCCAGGCAGTAGCTGGCTGACATGTGCCAAATATTAAAAACATTCTCATAAATATTTAGAAATGAGCTCTGTATAGATTATGTGAAAAAAGAAAAACAAAATTCAAGATGAGATTGAAAGTTAAGCTATAACCAAAGATTAGAAAGTGTAATAAAAGTTGTTTTAGAGTTGTTTTGTGCATCCATTGGACATTAACCGGACATAAAACTACAACGATGTCTATCATAAAAGATATATGATTGATATCATTAGAAAATACTTTGGCTGTCATTTCACTGAACTTGGATGCAGAATCAAACGGCATTCTGGGTTTGTAGGCAGCTAAACGGCCAGCGAAGAAGGTTGGTGGCATCAACAAACTCACTTACCCTTTGCTACGCCAGCAACAAGGTGTTGCTTAACATAACAGGGTTTTGCCTAGTATATTATAGGGCTGACAGCCGGCATGCTTTACAAGCATTTCTTGTTTACAAGGCTTTACAAGCCTTTCTTGTTTATGTTTTTAGGAAAATAATTATAAATAAAAAGATGCTATTTTTTTTTTATGCCGGATTGCAAGCGTCTCTGTTGCTCTGAGCATTTCACTGGCAGAGCAGATTTATTCCTTAAAAAAGATATGTTTATAGAAGATAGGCTTATAGTTTATGCATTAAGCCGGACCAATCATACCGCTGGCGCCTCTGCGCGTTGCCTCGTGCTCAGCAGGAGCTGGATGTCTTAAGTTCACCTCAGCGCAAATCCCACATAGCTTCATAGGTTGAGCGAGTAGTGAGAATGATTTATATTTGTGGACAAAGAATTTTGAGTGGCAGTTCTGTCTGCGCTGATAAAATTTATGTATGTGGTTCCGGTTGGTTGGACTGTTAGTGGTTAACGAACCAGTGCTACCCTCTTGGAGGTTCAGCCCGGTGAGGAGCTTTTGCATAGTCACGCATCACACTAGTTTTATATTATTTTATTATTAATTCTAGTATTAATTTTCCAGTTACGAAGCATCGAACCGTATCAAATGCTTTTTCCACTTAGACAGAGTTAAAGTGTACGGCTGCACGGATCTGAGAAACTCAAACTGGACCAACCAAAATAGTTTCTATGTCCCCTTGTTAAAAACTCGACACAAAACGGAAGAGCTACTAAAGCCACACTAGCAGCATTGAATTAAATCTCCCGTTTATTGTGCATCTCTGCACAGTGCAGCGGATTTAACTCATGCAGGGTTTCATGTTGTTCTCAACACACTTCATTCCTCAGAGGTCCATACATCCTCAAACTAGACTCAGGCAGGACTCGAAGCGAAAGCTGGACACATCCGGAAAAAGGTCTGCTTTTACGACTGTATACCTACTCTGAAATGCTCTGACTGACACAGGAAGCAGTATTTTGCATACTGATTTGATCATTTTGAGAGCAACCTGTCACAATGAGGTGTAGCATGACTGCAGCTCTCTGCAGCACTGGCATTTGTGCGCTGGCTGACCTGATGGACCATTCAGCTAGCTCACTGAACTTGAAGGTATCCATTGTGATAAATGAAAGAATCTGTCATTACAGAAAATCGGTACGCTTGACTGAAATTTCAACTGTCCGCAGACAGCACTTGGAGTCTGCACAGTTCACAGAATACACATAGTACAGGTAAGGTCCTAAGTAACTGACTAAGAATAAATAAAAGGGTGAAGTTGAAGGAGAAAATGAGCACAACAGCTCTAGAGGAAATTGAGGATAAAAGACAAAAGTCATGTCACAAGCTTTGCAGTACATTGGATATATAAAGGAAAAAGGTAATCAATAATTATCAATGTCAACTGATAAATGCTTCTATTGTGATGCATTTTTTAGCCATTTCCACCAGACTTATTGGCCATCTAAAAACATTTTGAGAGTGTTTCGAAGAGTGTTAACCTTCATGCTGACTCAAGCTTTTCTTTGCTTATGTATTGTGAAGCAGGGGAGTTCTTAATGTGAGAATAACACCTGACCGAAGTGATCATAAAATGTGTTTTTTTTGTGGTGTCTGTAGATATGCCTTATTGAACAAGGCATTTTGTTTTCCCTGATTGCTGTTCTGTGACACCACAGACATCATCAATGGAGAGGTCTTTTTCTCCTCCCAGACACATCAGCACACACAAGTAAGAAAACTAAGCAAAAACAGATTTTCTTTTCAGAAAAGTCTCATATATGAACTTGGATGTCTCATATCATATGATATGAGACTTTTCAGTTCATATCATATGAACTGAAAAGGAAACACTCAATATACTAAGACAATGTCCATCAATGTCTTTTGGTGTTAGAGAACAGACACACGAGCTTCATTTTCAAATAAAGCATTTGCAGCAACAAAATATCTCAAAGGCCACAGATTGTTTTGTTCTGGTTTTTAATAATTGATATTGGGTGGATGAATATGGACATACAATCGATTAGGAGGAATAGATCTTGAACATTAACATGGAGTTTTGCAGACCACGAATCTCTTTGCTACAAGTCTAATCCATCCCAGGCTCGGCATTTTTATTCCTCTAAGATGGTATTTTGCGATAAACAATTGGGTGATTGGTGGTATTAGGGGATTCAGATTATGTGCAATTAAATTTCACCATTTTACACATTATTTGTGTAAAATGTTCACGTTGTATGTAAAAAACACGGTGTTTGTCTGCTGCTGCTGGATTACCACAAATCTCTTTACTGGTCCACCTATATTTTTAAAGAAAATTTTCATTAAAAAAAAATTATATTTATATTTGCACTTATATCTAAACATATTCTGAATTATGTTCTTGAAGTTCTGAAGTTCTGACCAGGCGTGTATATTCAGCGTTTGCCAGGCATATCACAAACAGTTTGGGATGTTATTGTGTACGACAAGAGGAGTTTGTATGCTAATTTGACTCTCCATTTGTTCCCCTCAGAAATACTATGCATATTTCTCTGAGGCAGGAAACTCCCTCTAATTGGTTAGACAAAATATGCAACAATGTTTAGAAACAGAGGAGCTCAGCTTTAGCCGATGAAACACGAGGGATAGATTAAGGAGAGGAAACATCTATCAACCTGCTAAATCTCTGAGCTTTTTTTTTTTTTTCCAGAAGACACCTATTCAGCTCTAGGAGACTTCAGGGACCAATCTGAGCAGCAGAACAGGTCTCATCTTGCCCGTGACCTCTCTCTAAATGAGAGGCAAAGGGGTCCTGCGGGTCCTGCTACAGCAGCGAACTGAAGTGCAGCACTCACGGCCTTTTGCGATGCGCGTCTCGATGTGGACCACATCTGATTCTCTGTCCAGCCCCATTACCGCCCTTGAGAAAATGTGAAGAGCAGAAGGAAATGGAAGGAAACAGAAATAGGGTTTGGTGGATACGAGAAGGATAAATGAGAATTAGAAGAAAAGAACAGAAAGCTTTGTTGATCATAGCAGCAGTAGATGGACACAGTTGTTCTCAGAAACCGATAACAATAGAATTTTATCTCCTGTAAATCACTCAGGGTAAAATTAGCTTCAGCGATGGCAACTAATCTCAATTTACCAAAGCGTCAACAGGGGCAACAACAAGAGGAGGGAGGTGACAAAACGTCCACTGCTCCCATAAATACCAACCACGCCAAATGGGCATTCTTATGAAATTGCAGGCAGCTGCAACAGATTTGAAAAATAACTTTTTGACATAATGTGCGTCAATGAATAGCGTTCAAGAGCATAAATAATGCATTGTTTCGGGCTGTGCCATACCCGCCATGCTCCACTAATTTATGAAACATCTGACTGTTTACGCATGTGGAGAGGGTGTCCTCCAACCAACCTCCTTTCTTTTTTGAATAAAAACAAGAACACAGTTGGCTGGACTCATACCATGACCAACCCTCTAAACGGACTCATCAATATTCACCGCCTTGTGCCTGCGCAGTAAAAAGACGTCTAAACGGTAACAACAAAAACAGCATGTTGTGTTTGTGCTCCAGAGAAGACGGCACAATATTATATCAGCCCTACGTGACAGGGATGTAATCGGTTTTGGTCCTGACTCCTGTGATTGTAAGGTTTTTTTTTTACATAGATCACTGAATTCATCTGTTTGCAATCAACTACATAATTGTGTTAATGATCAATTACAGGACAAAACAGGAAGTCATACCAGTAGAATCTGCCTGGCATCACGTTTTCATGGACAAGCTGCCATTTCTTCCCAAAGTCCATTGAGCTGTAGAGCTGCAAAACAACATTTCGAGCCACTGTTTCACGCATTAAAAGTAGGCTGATGATAATGAGCAACACATGAGAATAAAAGCAACATCTCACTGTGGTTTTATTTCTCCAGATGTACCTTGTAGTCATGACTGTAAGCCAGAATCCAGTTCTCCTGTGCAGGGTGGAAGAGGAGGCTGAGGACGTTGAAGTTAATGGGAAACTTCTCGAAGCTTGCCCCTTCATCTGAGCTGATGAGTACAGCGCTCTCTACTTCTGGGTCACTAAGCATCAATATCTATGGTACGGGCAGCCGGGCAAGGGGTAAAGCGTTAGAAAAGAGTAAAAGAGCATCAGACATATTGGTTGAGCAAAACTTGGAACAAAGATATAGTATAGGAGCATCTCAATAAGTTAGGATAGCACCATAAATATATATATTTTTTCTATAATTAAAAAGTAATTGTGCAAGTCAATCATATTTTTAATTATAAAGTAATATATGACAAGTGCTTATTTGTATTCATTTTGATAATTAGTGCTATTGAAAACCAAAAATTCAATTTCTCAGAAAATTACAGTGCCTAGAAAAATTTCTCACCCCCTTGGATGTTTTACCCTTTTTACAAATCAATCATGATCAACAAAATGTTGTTGTTTTCACAAAAACCCTTTAATGACAAAGTGAAAACTGACTCACCTGCATTCGCTCCAGTTCGGCAATGTTCCCAAAACTTTCTCTCTGAGCTCTGCTTGACAATCATCTCAAGGCTGCAGTAATGCCTGTAATTTGTGTGCAGTTTTCTAACACTATTTTCCCTCAACTAAACTTTCTATAAATATACTTGGGAATAGCACTCAGTGAACAGCCAGCTTCTTTAGCAATGACCTTTTGTGGCTTACCCTTCTTATGGAGAGCATTAATAAGCGTTCTCTGGACAACTGTTAAATCAGCAATATTTCTGGTGCATAAATCTATTTCCATGAGTTTCTAAATTTTCTGAGAAACTGAAGATTGTGTGTTCAACAAAATTATCAGAAACAAATGCTTAAAATAATGTGGCAAGAACTTAAAGTTACATGAATGATCATCACTTTTTGGATGAAGATGCCAAAATTATTTAACTATTTAATGATATTCTAATTTATTGAGAATGACTTATGGAACAGCTGACAGAAGTAAACATCAGAAGGAAATGCTGACCTTTTGCTTGTTGGTAGGACAGACATACAGGTAGCTTAAAACGGTCCTTGAGGTCACTTTATCATTGAGTTTGGTGTAGGTGCTGCCATAATCAGCGGATCTGAACAGAAATAACATTGTATAACAATAAAAAAAAACTACATCCATTAGAGGACTGTCCAGCTTAACATGCTTAGCCAGTTAACTGCAAATAATTTTCTTCTTAACAAGAACATCTCTCCAGAGCTTCTCATGCAATTAGAGATAGATTTTCTGACATTCAGGCAACATGTTGCTTTAAGGTGTAAAACAGATTTGACAGAGACTACTGTAGTTTAACATTTATTCACTTCTGTGGCTATTGTTGGGGATTGTCATGGTTTGTGTTGTTTGTACTGTGAATTGTCTCATATATGGAAGGAAAATAATTGTAGTTAAATCATTTGTTATTTTGTTCGATCAATACGCCCCTTATGGTTGCCTGTGTCTTTCCCAGAATTTTGATGTAATGTTTCCAGATAGAGACTGTTGGTTTTTGTTATGTATTATAAGCAAAGGTTCAACTTTCCGAACACTAATGCATTTCAGCTTAAAGTTTTATTGTTTCAATATATTTGTTGTTTTCATCCCGATATGTTTTAAGTTTCCATCACATCAGCATCCAATTAAGGCATTACTTAAAATTATCTCCAAGTGGCTGGGAAAATGGTACAACAGTAAACCAGATTAGCATGACTGTTTTCGAGCAATTAGGCCATTTTGATGTGACATGAGTATGCAAGAGCAAGAATAGCCCACGCTATGTACTGGCACCCTTGTTAAAGATATGTGAAAACCCTTTCTTATTTTAGCAAAAGAATCTCAGTTTTAAAGAACCCAGTTTTAATTTATGATGGTGTGTGCCGGTTGCTTTTCCAAAGACCTTTGTCTGAAATCCTTCTTTGAGTAAATAGCCTCATCAGCTCTTTGCAACACTAGCATATTTTGCACAAACACCTGGTGTTTTCTGACAGGACACTGAAAATGGGTTGTCAACTGGGTCTCAGAGTAAGATAATGATTTCTAACAAATCAACACATAAATTGTTCCCCAGACACAAAATTAACCAGTCCTCCAAAATAAATCCTTTTGAAGACCTTTGGGCAAACTGAAAAGAAATACGGACTATACTGTACAAAACAGCTAGCGAAAAAAGATTAAGAAATTCAAATCTAATTTGGTTTCAAACAACCACAACTCGGCTTCCAGAATGCTGGATCTTCTTATTATGTAAAAGCATTGAACTTATTTAGCATCTGTAAAATTATATCTGTTAACACTGTGCCATAGGAGATAACACTAATTGGGACAAATTGGAAGTCACATCCTCTTTATTCTCTGACAATGCAAAAAACTATGAATACCAAAAGATTTCAATGACTCAGCTTTCTGCATTGAAAATGAAGCCTTGAATAAAGCTGAATTTTAGCAATGTGTTAAGGTCACCATTGTAGTTGTATATTTTTCTATCAAATCTCTTCACAGAGTTGTATTCAATAAATAAAAATGTGCTATGAGGATTGCTTGTCAAATTACCAGTACCAGTTGGAAAATAAATATTTAAGCAGATATTAAGCTTTTTTATCAAGGCCACATTACAAATGTTTTTATCGGACTGATGTAATATTTAATTCCTAAATGTTACATTTTCATGAGCTGCAAAAAGAAAATCATAAATAACATAAGCAAAGGCTTAAAAACACCAGTCTATATAATGGATCTATATTATATCTTTCACTTAATGTATGTAGCAAAATAAATAAGCCTTTCAAAAATATTAAATTTTATTGGACAGATTTCTGTGTGAAATATTTATCTCAAATTACTACTAGTTTAAATCTGCATCAGCTCAAAATTCAGTTAATTTAGATTGTTTGCAGTTTCCTCTTTTCACTGTTTATCTTTCAGGATAACATAATATGTGAATGTAGGTATGAGCCAGTTGTTGGCCTTAATTAAAATATGATTGTTTGAATGAAATAGTGTTTAAAGATGACTGCACTTTGCTAAGGTGACTCCAGTGGCAAGGGCAAATGTGCTTTGTCACTCATGGCTTCCTATTTCTTCTCTCCACAAACTGCCAATCCATGTTCTCAGTTCTACCTGGGTGGCTCCAAATGTAATTTCGCCGCATAATTGGATGGGAACCCACCGTCTGCTATCATTGTCTGTGCATTAACTTGAACTGTTCCTGTTGGGATTTGTTTGCACAAACGGCGACCACTAAAAACATTTGTATTTAAGCGTTAAGTGCTCCTTGTCTGTTTCTGACTGAGGAACTCTTAAACGATGTGATTACAATGTGAGGCTTCATCTGGAAACATAATGGGAATCGAGGCGTGTTTCGCCAGCTCATGCATATCACCCATTGATCTGCATGCTGCGTTTTGCCACAAGCAGAGGCCCAGAAGCTGTAGACATAAATCATTTATGGTGTTGTCAGGGAAATAATTTACTCTTTTCTTTTCACAACATGGAGATCACTGCTTTTCTAATGCTCCTACTAAGAGATCTCCATGGACCCCCTCAGGTACTTTAATTTGCTTGTAGGCCATTGTTAAAGGAACCACCTTGATGATGGAATACCTCCTACATACAATATGGAATTTCAAAGGGAGTAAGCAGAGTGGGTGCAGATATGCCTCTGGAGAAACAGATATTAATTCAAGGCTCTTGCTTGCCGGACTGATGGTCTTTTTTTTTCATGCGTATTTCAGAAAGAAATGAATTCTCTGCAGGCTTGTAGAGAGGTGAGAGAAGGCATATCTGAGACAGTATTGGGCTTTGTGGTATAATCCTTAATGAATTCTATTCTTATTTATGACCTGACAGGGCACTGTAACTCACCCTTTAATACATTCGGAATGAAATTGCTATGACTATATTGCAGCGATTGCATGTCAATTGCTGCTGAAACAAAAGGTTACAGATGACTATCAATCAAAAAGTCAATCAGAAAGTTTCTAGGTCAGAGGAAAAGCACCACAGATACAAACAGAGCAGCTCCTAGATCAGTCATCTGGTTTATCTTTCAGAAACAGCCTCTCAAAAAAGTTTTTGTGCTGATGATGGACAGAAGGTTGCGTCTTCTCCAAAGGCCTCCTGCAGTCTCACTCGACTTATTTATGGGGCTGCAGGAAACAGGGAGGAGGATGGTTCAATCTTAACCACTTCAGAACGCTTTATTAAAACATATTTCACCGTGGCTTCCACTGCAACTTGATTGTTCATATCCTAGAGAGGGGGAGCACTATAAATCATACTTACAGTATGCTATGCTCTCCATGAATATATTATTCTTATTGTTTTTCTTTTTTTGTTTGTTTGTTTCTTTTTTTTAAGCCCGGTGCCCTGACCCGTATATGTTTATATTGAAAAATAAAACAGCTTTGATTAAATTTAAGAAAGCCTACCTCCAGAGCGAGCTCTCGGTTACGGTCCCCATGGTTAAGTCATACAGCTTAGTCAAAATCAGGATCACCTGCAACAACAGCAAAAGCAGATGGATTTTTCACATTTTGTTACATTGCAAACATATTTTTTTCAAATATGCCAACTCAAAATTGAGCATAACTATGAAGCTAAAGGAAAATTCTACAAGCTTTTCAATTTTTTAAAATATATACATCTTAAATGCGTGGGGAACATTTGTACTTCAGCCCTCTTTCTGTCAACACTTTGCAAAGCTGCCTTTTGCTGTGTTGGATTTGCACTTTAGAGATTTAAAATTTTTACAAATCTTCCTTTGCAAGATAACTCAACCTCAGTCAGATTTGAAGGCATGTCCTTGTGATCAGTAATATTTAAAAGTTGTCATAGACTATAATTAGCTTTGCATCTATGACTTCCTATGACAGGAATGAATAAACCAGTCAGTTGTAGCTCTGATTGCACGTCTACTTTTTCTGCTAAAGAATGATTCTTTGCCAACATCTCAAGTATTTTGGAGGCCTGTATTTTGCTCCATTCATCTTCTCTTCTGCTATATCTGATTGGCTGTCCTTAACTAACAAAATCCTCCCATGATTCATAGTAGGGGATAATGTGTTCTGGGTGTTACTTTCTGCCACACTTAGCATTTTACGTGTGTGCCGTATGCTCTCTGACAAACCTCAAAATTACCCAAGAGTGGCTTATTTTAGATCATTCAAAGACTGTTGAAACAAATCAGTATCAGAATTACTGGCTATAATGGGTCATTATATCCCGTTCATAATTTTGTGATTACAAGACACCAAAATATGAAAAACTTTAAGGGGTATTTATACTCAAATTATTGAAATTATACTCCCTCTTTGGCACACATTTTCTCGCTACACCCAATAAAATCATTTGGATCGGACATGTTTGGCACATTTCTTTACCAATATGTATCAGCCTCATGCAGTGGTTATCTCAATGACAAGAATGTGTCATTTTGTCATGATGTATCAGTCTATTGGTTGTGGGAAAGTGAAAGAAAAAAAGCTCCATGTGTTGTGTCAAGTGCTGTGTCTGTATATCATGCAGAATGATACCCATTAAATAACAAAATATGAATTGCTCAGTGAACAGGAAGCAGACATGGAGCTAATAGCTGAATGGCTCCTCCCTCAATTTTTGTTCCCTTTGTTTCTGCTAATATGTTGTTGAAATTGGCTAATTTGTAACTGAATATTACATTTTATGTTGGGTAGCTTAAGTCTGCTGTCACACTTTTTACATAATATCTGTGGTTGGTTAGGGGGGAAACAAAAACATTGCCTGCTAAGGCAAGAGACAGTAAAGGAAAATGGTCTGCAAATGCATTATTGTCACTCCAATAACATTATAAAAGACTTCCCATGTGAATGCTTATAACTCAGGCAAGAAGGATGGACAGGATAGACAGTTTGGAGCAGAGCGATGAGAAGGGATGGTGGATAATAACAATCAAGGGGTATAAAACATGATATAATATGATGATTTCCTTTTTTAACAGAAACCATGAAAGACAGGTCAGAAGCTCAATTACAGTGAGTTTAAACACATTAACCCCACGGGGACCCATGAAAGAGGTTATTAAACTGTGAAAAGCTGCAAAGACTCAGAGGAACAAAAGACACGTCACTAAGTTTGCTTTGGAAATGTTAAAAACCCAATTGACCCACAATTTAGCCATCAAACAGCCACTATGCATTGCTGGGACTATCTGCATTGCAGGTTAATTAACCAATCACACGGAGAGATAAGCATTTGCATAACTAAATGCGCCGTGTCTGCAAGGTCCAGCGCTGTAGTCCGAATCAATTTGGAGAACAGACTTAGTTAAATGGCTGTGATGCTGGGTCTAATTACCTGCTTTGAAAAATAAATACAAGAGAAAAACTCTGCCAAACTGTTGATCGTTTGTCTCCTCTGTTCTTCTTTTTTTGATACAAATACTGACTCAGTGTCATGGGACATAATGATACTGGAGGGCAAATTGAATCTGGAATTGATTTTATCAGTGTCAAACAAGAGGCAGTTTCTTCTTTACTATAAGAAATCAAACATAGTGTACTAACTCAGTACACGCCAAAGAAACGGCTTTGTGATGGACCGAGTTAAAAACAGGAGGAGTCATAGGAACTATTAGAATTTTTTTTAATTATTTTAACCCAAAGATTTATAAATGACAAAAAGATAGTCTGAGCTCAAAAAAGATGTCAAAGAAACAAAACTGAACTCAGGCAAAAATGCAAACAAACTGGCTCCACAAACAAACATAAATGACCTAAAAGAAATGACACACAGGGCTTTACATACTGACTGATCAGACCAATTGAGACACAGTGAGGCAAACTAAACAGTATACAATTACTAACAAATAACAGTACATCTAACTTTGACTAATCTAAACACCCTAAAACAAAAAGCAAAAATATTAAACTCTAAATACTAATATTTACTTGAATACAAAAACTTAACTAAACAAAGAAACTACAAATTTCCTCTGCCAGCAGGAACTAGTGATGCAGTCCAATCAGCATTTTAGCCTTCTGAGCCCTGGCCCCATCTTTTGTCTAGCAACTAAATGACATGCAAGTCCCAGCAAGAAAAAAAAAACAAAAAAACAAATACGAGTTGATCTTAAGCAAACAGAATTAACTATATGTTGATATAAATACAAATGCTAACTAAATGTGCGTGCTAGCAAATAGAACATATGTGTCCAAATCAAGTGAAAAATATTTTAATTGAAACTAAAGTGTTGTGTTTGTATGAGAGAATAAATTCTGCATACAAAGAGTTATCCACTTTAGAGTGTGGCCATGGGGTTGGCCATCACAGGCTTTTACTTTCACTATTTTGTATTGGGAACAAAGGCTGCAAATTCTAAACTGAGTCAGCACAAGCAGATAAAAAAATGTATGAAAACAGTCTTACGTGTTTTTTCATGTATTTCCAAAATAGTTCACTTTCTGAAAATAGCAGTTTACAAGTAAATGTAAAAATTGAATTACACTACGAGAAGTTTGTCGATCCGCTTGACAGTGTGGCGCTTACGATTTGTGATGGAAATCAAATGCCCTGAACAAACCATCCCCACTATAAAACACGGTCATGGCAGCATCATGCTGTAGGGATGAAACTAAATAAAATATTGTTTGCAATAGCTCTGCCCCTGTTTGGGAGTAAAAATGGGATGCACAACAATTAAGCAACTTTCTTCACCAAACTAAATAAATATATATACTCCTGTTGTTGCCAATGAAAAGTCAATGGAAAGTCTAAGCACACCAAACTCAGAGTGAATCTTTATTGAGTGTTTTGTGATAACGTCTTTTTATCAATTAGGAGGAATTTCCATGTACCTTTTTTGCTCATACATCTCTCAAACATAAGCAATCCACCTTCATATTTAAAAGTAGGAATCAAGTACTTTTCTGATAGACAGTCTGACTCCTCTCCAAATGTAGCATTTGTGGTTGTGTCCATAAAGTTGTATTTTGGTGTCATCACTCCAAATGTTTGTGTCTGTGATGTTTGGCACAGCAGTGGCTTTCTTCTGGCAACTACTTGTGTAGCCCATTTGTCAAGTGCCTCCTTGTTGTGTATCTTGATGCTGCTAGTACACTGCTTTTTCCTGAGAGCACTGCATGTCATCTGAAGTTATTTCTGGATATTTCACAATTTTCCTGGCATTTGTGTCTGGACTTAGTTTCAACAGAATCCCTCATTTTCCACTTCTTGGTAAGGGTTTGAACACTGCTGATTGGCATTTCCAGACCCTATTTTTACATCCCTTTCTCAGTTCTTTAAAGTGCAGCTGCCTTTTCCTGTAGATTATTAGATTTTTGTTTTGTTTTCCACACTTCAGCAAAATTAGTACAGTTGAAATATACACTAATTACAAGCAAATCAATTACAGATGAGATGGCTGCAGTCTTGATGACATCACATCCGGTTTGACCTTTGGCAGAAAGTTCACAGCTGCTAATTTAGGAAGTCCTATGAGTGTTTTAAGAACTAAGAGTGTTCTTAAAACATCTTATTCTCATTCAGACACACAGCCTCACCTGGTGACGAGTCAGAATTTGTAATAGCAAGCGGAGTGTGACACGAGCATTGCATGATTGTGTTCTTCATCTTTACAAATGTGTGATTCATTTCATTTGCAATGTAGAAATAGGGTGGGATGGACCTGCTTTGACTGTTGGTGAACTGTTTGCTGTTGAACTGACTGGTTTTGGCAGGAGCCAGGTGTACCTCTCTGCTCTTCTCATGACACAGTCGAGATGAGATGCAAGTCTCCAACACAGCAAAGAAATAAATGAAAAAGTTGCAAGAGGATTTAGATAAATATCACAACAAAGTGGATAAGTTGACATTATCCTCTCCTCTCATCCATGCTTTGTCTCCACCCACTTGTGGGTGTGATATTTCCAAATTTGCCAGGATTTTGCTTTCACAGCAGAGGTGATTTTCTGGATTCAGATATCAATCCAGAAAATATCTTAATAGTGATTTTCTGGATAATCAATCCAGAAAATTATCAAAAAGAAACTGAACAATGTTCACAAAAAATTGTTTGATGAAACCTTTCTTTCTTTTTTGTTTTGGTTGTTTTCTCTTCCCTACCTCACGGCCGCTGCACCTACATGACAAAACTGGATGACAAAAATCCTCTTGACACCCTCACCGTAAATGCCACTAAACATTCTGTCTTCACTGTTAGCAACATGTTTTTTCTATCTGGCTCATTAACAAATGCTGACCCACTGGGTCTGGGTCAGTGAAGATCCACCTCTGGGAGTAAAACATTGAGGCAGATGACTGTTTGGATGATTTCTCCCCAGGTGCGTACATCACTTTGTGTTCCCATGTGTTCAACGTTGTGGATAGGATGAGCAACTGTGATTGAGTCAGTGGGGAGAGACTACTGCAGACATGCAAATGTTGAAGCACAAGACCTACAGACTATGGTGTTTTGGTAACGCTAGTGGAGTTTATTAAAGTGGCATTTAGCACAAAACCGCA